AAGATAGCCATCAATATAATCAGCTGGTATTGTAGGTTTTGAGTTTAAATTTTTGGAATTTCAGAGATCATTGAGAAATGTGTATTTTGCACTTAGGTGCTCTTTGTAACCCGAGGATGTAAACTAGTTTCAGATTCTAAGTCATTAATTCAGCATCACTCACCGTGTGGTAATGATGTCTTTTAGATACAGGAGGAAGTCCTCCTTTGCAGAGTAGCTTGTGATTGTACAGTAACAGGGAGATACACTGTTTCCTACTGTAGGCTCACTCAGCACACAGCGCTTCCGGTTCTGGAATGAGTAGGGTTTTCCCACATCAAACCTTTCCCCAGGCTCCCTCTGAACATTAGCTGAGTGTCCTACAGCGTAACCCAACTCTGACACATCTGTCTGGTGTTGCGATCAGAACCCACTAGTGTAAGTCACAGTCCCATATGACTGCCCTTCAATTAGAGGCAAATCACAAGTCCAGAGCTCAGAAATTTCTGAGTAAGCGACTGTATATAACCTGGGGGTTACTATGTCTCCTTCCTCAACCCAGTCTTTCAATGGAATGGCTCACAAAATCCAGGGGAACAAGTCACCTGTAGGTTGTAAAGGGTATTTAAGAGTTCGGAGGAGCAAGCATGGGAAATGGCTGTAAGGGAAAGTGTTTGGGAAAGGGTGCAGAGTTCTCAAACACACCCCATCCTCCTCCAACCTCATCCCCTGGGGCTTTGAGAGCCTCCTGTAAGCCAGATGAAGCCACATCCTTAGCCTTTGATCAACTCACCCTTCAGCCACGCTTCTCTTCCCCATAGGTCAAGGGGTGGGCTTGAAAATCCAAACTTCTAATTACATGGTTTTCCTGGTTTTCCTTGGCTTTCCTGGCGAGCAGCTCCCACTTGAAAAACCCCTCCAAAGTCTTCTCTCCAGGATACAAAAAGACATTTATTTGGAGGTTCTGAGGCTTTTAAGAGATTTGTACTGCCAGCTGGTTCAATTTAAATGTGTATTTCTTATTTTAAAAACACAATATCGTGGTGACCACAAAAATGACCTTGCATCCAGAAAGTGTGATTCCTGCTTGTAAGCCCAGCCAAGGCAGTAGGGTCTCTAGTTCAAGCCAACTGGAGCATCTTAGCAAGAACCTGTCTCAAACTAAATATATACCATGAGGTGGGGATGTAACTCAGGGGTAGAGCCCCTCCACCCTGGGTTCAGTTCCCAGTATGGGGAAAAGAAAGATCATGCAACCTGACACTGAGCGAAATGTTCTTAATTGACAAAGAAAAAAATTACAATTTTTTGTCCTGCAAAAGATCTTTAAAATCTTTCGTTGTATCATTAAACACTCTTGCTGTAGGTTACTAATATTCGAGGAATGAACAAATAAGAAACTAATATTTATTTAGTACACTGTGATTTTAAGCATTAGGGATATTGTTCGTTAAATTTTTTTTTGTAAAAGCTTGTCAAGATTAATGTGATTGATCTTGCCCTTTTTATTGTTTGTTTGTTTGTTTGTTTGGCACCAGGAGTAGATATCAGGACCTCACACTTGCCAGGCAGGCACTCATGCCGCTGAGCTATGCCTCAGCCCCCACATTATGTGTGTTACAATAGAGTGAATATCTTTTCTGTGCCTCACTGAATTTCCATCCTTGTTTTAAATTTCAGTCAGATTCTAAAATTGTATCCTTTGTGAGTTTGGTGTCATGAAATCTCTCAGAGAGTCCCTGTAATGGGGAATTCGTTGCCGATGTCACTTTCTGTGGGACATTTTCATCGTTGCTTGCGTCCCATTCAAATCCTGAAAAGTTATTTGCACAATGCACTAAAAGTTTCTGCTGGGCTACATGCATGTGACATCCAGTTGCTCCCTGCCCTGAGGCTCAAATACGTTCACTTTTATGTCTTATATTGTATCTCATCCAGGACTCAGCCAGTGAAACTGCATGATTGGAATTGCAGCACGAATGCTCTCTTCAAAAGTCTGTGTAACATAAAAGGTTTTTAAAAATTGCAATAACTCTGTGGTTCATTGGCTGGAGTAATGAAGTTGTGCTTGGTAATAAACAGGAAGTTATCACATTTTCAGTTAAATCCCCCAAAGAATTAAGCTGACCGAGAGCATTAGAGTCAAATTTTTTTGGACTCTAGTCTGTCTGCTGATGTCCAGGTGGGAACTTGGTGACAGATGTGCATGGCTGATCGAGGATTGATCACTGTGCCCATCAGTGACCATGAAGCCCATCTGCTGTTCACATCGTGATCTGCAGGCAGAGCAAACGGTCACGCTTGACGCAGCCCCTCAGAGTTAGAATACTGAGTCCCTGGAGTCTTGAACTGTGTCGCCGGGGACTGGTGTTACTTATTTTTACACAGAACAACTACTCAAAGTGACTGCTTTACTCTGATTCCAGACCAACTTTCAACAGAAAGAAAAACAATGATAAACTGATTTTTTTAATTACTTAAATATCTTCAACTTCAACTTCTCAATATTTATCTTATTTTTTATTACATTTCCCTCATAAGTTTACAACCACTTGCTGAGTTTGTTACCCCAAGCTATTGGTAGAAACTTACTTTGTGCCATTCTGTAAAATTTACCAAGTGTAGGCTGGGGATTTAGCTCTGTGGCATGAGCGCCTGCTTTGCAAGCAACGCAATTGTGAGTGAGTTTGATCCCTGGTACAAAAAAAAAAAAAAAAAAATATCAAGTGTAAGTGCTAGAGTCTTCTTTAAGAACACAGTGACAAGCCGGGTGTGGTGGCACACACCTGTAATCCCAGCACTCAAGAGGCTGAAACAGGAGGATCCTAGCAAGTTCGAGACCAGCCTTGGCTACAAAGTGAGCTCAAGGCCAGCCTGAACTGCATAGTGAGACCCTGTCTCAAAAAGACAAAAAATAAATAAATAAATAAATAAATAAATAAATAAACCCACAGTAACTCCATGTTGGTGAATCTACTGCATGTGCTGACTTCACACAAACACCCGTGCAATCACACAGCTGTGATCACCTGCTACCCCAGGAACATGAGCCCCCCTGCGTGTGTGGGTCTCAAAGGATTTCAAAAACAGATATAGTTCAGTTCACTAATAATAAGGGAAATTTTTATTGGATATGTATTTGGTAAAAAGCAATGTGATGAGTTTTTTTCTTTTAATTTTAAAAAATGTATTTCAATAAAAATCCCTCCCAGAATTCTCTCACTTTGAACATACTTTGATGAGTTCTTAAGTCTTCCATGAAATTATTATATCTTTGTCACAAACCTACAATACTGCAGCTTGGAGTGAAGATATGTGGCTTGTCTCTGTAAAAGGGAAACCTGCCCCTTAAGCAGCGGCTGCCTCCGTGCTTAGCACTCAAAGCTGAACTGTGTTCTCCTCAGAGGCTCTATGGCTGAACTGCTTAGAGTCACCTAGTTGGAGGGGCGTGTGGATCAGACGGACTCAATGCAGGAATACTTCTCTGACCGTGGACATTAGGGCTTGACTTGCCTAACCACACAGGCTTGGGAACTACTGCCAGCCTCACCGTTATGCAAATGTGTTACCCTTCACCAGCAAAGTCATTATCAGGCCATCTATCCTGTTGTCACACCCTTTCCCCTCCCAGCGCCCTGGGGAATCACTTCTCTCATGATTCCTTTACCTGGCAGGTACATGAAAGCTGCTTTGTTTTTTGAGCCAGCTGTGTGATCCTTGATTTGTTGGTTGATACTCACCGTGCTATGACTAGTAAGTGCCAGCGCTGGGAGACAAAGCCATTTTTCCCGCTGTAACTCCTGTGTTCGATTTCCATGTTAAGATGTTAATTAAATGATGGGAGCAAACCCCATCCACTCTAGCTGGTTCCAGTGTACAGACAGAGGGAGTTCTCACAGCAGTCCTTCTCCTGCGAGCTTTCAGTCACTTTTCTCTTTACAATGGCAGGCTCCTCACCCTCGGGAATTCCTTCCTATTGTAATAATCTAATACTTGATAGCACCAACAGTGTAGTAACAGTAACAACACCAACAATCACAGTTGCATTGTAGCCAGCGGTGCACCCTGTGCCAAGGTCTATTGTCCTCCAGCTGTCTCAAGCCCGGCATCGAGCTGTGTAGTTTCCTCGGGAAAACTGCAGTTCCTTCCTGTAAACCTGGGGTAAAGCCGCTGAGTACAGGCCAGGTGACAAACTGTGTCCGTGTGGAGGAAGTTTCTGTTACTTGTCATGAAGGGCTCCATGCCCAGTGTTGCCAGGTTTGAAAACGCACCAGAAATCTAGGTCATGAGGTAACACTGACTATTTTTTATGATACATTGTACACCAAACAAAATACACCCCTGTCCCTGGCTACCACTGCAGAACTGCAGGCTGAGGGACAGAGTCTGATCATCCGGCCACTTCATCTGTGTTTCAGTCTCAGCTTCGCTATTTTGCAGTGGCTTTGAGAAAGTGACTTAGCCTCTGTAAAACTCAGTTTTCCTGTCCATAAAATGGATGCTTAAATGGTATAGATCTTATCCAGTTGTTAAAAGGAAGAGACCAGTATTTTCTTTTTTGAATCTCTAAAGTGCTTAGTAAGATCCCTGGCACTTCATCAGTATTTTGCTTTGGGTTTCCCTCTTCACCTTCCCTGAGCCAGCCCTTCTGCCTCTCCAGTGCCGATTTCGGAGACATGGCATAAGGTCGTATGCTCAAATCTGACTGTAAACGACTCCTGACTTATAAACACACAAACAAAAAAAAACCCCACTTCTGTCATTTTCAGTGGTTCATTAAATGGTGGTTGCATTAAGACAGGTAAAGAATTAACCATATTTATTTTACTGTGTTAAAGCATTTTTATGGTGATATGAAACCACCGGGCTGAACTGTAAAAAATTAATTTGTATAATGTTATGCAGGCCCAGATGAGTAACTTTTATTGGTGAAATTAAATATAAGCATTTTTCAAAACTTGCTTTTTTATTTTGCCACCTCACTTTTCCGAATATCTAACTAGTGTGTTTAATTTTTTCAGTTTATCTTTATTAGAAGAATTTGACTGTAGCTGTAATGAACTGGAGTCTCTACCTTCTACTATTGGCTACCTTCACAGTCTTCGAACATTAGCAGTTGATGAGAATTTCCTTCCAGAATTGCCCAGAGAAGTGAGGAATAAACTTGTCTTCTATCAATTAACGTTGAAGGAAACTGTTTTGAAATGAAATCCAAACAGATGTAGTGGCACTAGAGATCATGAGCTGAGATGCTGTTTCTCTGTTTATATAAATATATGTGGAGGGGTGTCATGGGGGGGTGCTTGCATGCATGTGGGTAAATTATTCTATTTTAAAAGACAAGTGACAAATTCTAATATTTAACCCAGAAGATTGCATGCAAAAAATAACAGTGAAATATTACAACAATGCTAAAGGACAAAATTTTATATCATTTAATTTCTATGTTTTGCTATTATAAATAACATTTTGAGATTATTATATTTCTGTTTTTGAAGTAAAAAAGGGTTTTGCTGTAAATATGTTTGCAAGGTTTCATATTGCACTATAGTAGTACTATTTTAACTTTTAGACCCAACCAGAGATTCTGTTAATTTTTATCTCTAAGTTGGATTTCACTTACTAATATTATGAAAAAAGCATGAAATATCTTTGTAATTTAATATTTTCTACTAACCAATTCCCTAATGATGGAATAGTAATCAATATATCATTGTTTTGGAGCCAAAAGTTATGAATACAAATGACAAATACCATTGTAATGTGAGGAAAAATTAGCTTTGCCAAGAAACTGTCAATATTTCATTTTATGAGCATGAATACTCTTCTATTATGAATGAGTAGATTTGTACTCACTTAAGTAGAAAAACTATGATTTATGAAAACCATTGTGTCAGCAAGGGTTTTACTACTAAAATTGGTAAGAAAGTGCTCCCTTTTTAATATGTAAAAGAAAATGAGGTATCTATTGCCTTACTATCTAAAAGTGTACACATATTTTAAAAAGCAAGATTACAGAAATAAGGCAATACATAGTTTACACTTCATTTTAGCCAAAAGGCCAAGAAATTATAAGATGATACACATTTTAAAAGAAATTTAAAAGTAATAAAGAAGTCTGAGTTAATTAACATGGTTTATAAATTTTAAAAATTATGTAAAATGGCATGTTACTGTGATTCTTGACTTATTTTGTCCCATTGGCCACCCGTAGATTGGAAGCTGCAAGAATGTAACAGTGATGTCTCTCCGCTCCAACAAGCTGGAATTCCTTCCTGAAGAAATTGGACAGATGCAGAAACTGCGAGTCCTAAATTTGAGTGACAACAGGTATTTTTGTAGCATTTCATAATTGTGTGTTGGTCATCTACTGTCATCCAGTGATTGCTGTTGTCTATAATTTTGGAAACATTTTCTGTATCCTATGAGGTGTACAGGATCCAAATATGCAGGCTTTCTATAGAGAATGCAGGGTAAATTATTTTGAAGGTAAATCTTTCTAATTTCTATTATTTGATTACATTCAAATCGTATGCCATCATTCATTAAATTTATATAATTATAATATACATAATAACTCAAACTTAGAGACCAAAGCCCTTCCAATTTGTAGGAAGCATAGTTCTAGGAAAACATGGGGAAATAATTGTAGTTAAAAGCTGCAAAAGCTATTTTCTGATTAGTAAAGTATACCAGTAAAGTACAAATAGATTCACATATATGTCTTGTGCACACATACGTGTTTTCACATATATATTCCAACAAGTACACTGGATAATATGTTATGTTTTGACCCACTCCTGGTGCTGGCAAGAATATCATTAGTAAGGTATTACTCACAGGTTCTAAATTTTGAATACTGTAAACAGCTCCTTAACCATGTGCCAAACACAGTGAATAAAAATAGAATAGGCCTTCCCCTTGTGCAATACCCTATTCATAGCTGGGTTAGCAGAGAAAGGGAAAGTCTGCAATTCTTCTTCGTTTCCACCTTCTCTGTAAATGATCAGTATCCTCAAATAGAAAAAGGGAAAAACAGACATGGACCAGGAATAACAAATTGATAATGTGAATGCAGCATGGAACGCCTGAACTCGAATATCCAGGAAGTCTTTATCAGGCAAACAATGTGTGAGGGACTCAGAGACCTCGTGATGCAGCCATCAATGCCGAGCTGTTAGAAGATGGTGAGCAATATTCCGGGCAGTTCAGAGTGAGCAGGGAAATTCTCCTTTGTGTATAGCTCATTTAAGGAAATTGTTGTATGATTTTCAAAAACCATTCTCTGAGCACTTCCTTGGTATTGCCACATAATGATAATAAAGCTTTTTTATCAAAAGCTTTGGGATTTTATTTATAAATTTGGAGTGGCAAGGAGGCACCAGAGCTCTGTGTTATGTTATACCAGTAACCTTTCCTCTTCTGAGGAGGATCGCAGACTGGAAGATGAGGGAAATGTACTGATTGAATACTGTGTCTGCCTTTCAATAGGACATTTGTTTTTCAAATCTTTCCATCCGTATGAATTAGACTAAGAAACACAGCCAGGAAAGTGTCATGAGCAGATGTCTTCCTGTGTGATTCATTCACAGTCCCTAGTGGAACCATGATTGCTAACTTGGAGACGGGGTTCTCCTGATGGGCTGTAGGATTTCCCTCCTAAATTCTTGGCCTCCCAAATTTTTCATCAGTAATATGCATGACTGTATAGAAAATTGCTTACCAAATATTACAACTGGTCCATCATCAGAAGGACTGCTAATGCTTTAGAATTACTTACTCAAAAATACAGTAGACTTCAGTACTAACCATGGGCCAGACACGCTGCCAAGTCTTAGAGCAAAATATGCAAATAAGACATTAGGATCTGACAGAATAAGGGCTTTTAACTATTTCATCATGCCAAAAATACATGCTTAACTGATCCGCTATTGCAGTGACTAGAGCAAAGAATGAAGCCAATTTAATATTTTTAATTGTTGAATCAGTTAATCAAAGGTAAAAATCAACAGTCAGTTAGGAAAAGAGGCCAAAGAGTGAGCTTCTAGGAGAGAAGCTGAAACTTTAAAAAAATTCTAAATGCATTTTTAAAATTCAAAATATAATAGACTTTTTAGGTGTGATATCATATATTAATATGTTATATATTTGCTGTGCTGATCATTATTGTTTGTGCAATATATTCCACATTTAAGGTACAAAATATGGGACATTTATGGAGGTCACTAAAAGAGCCAGCAAAATAAAATGTTTTGTCTTTCTCCAATAGTCTCTTTCTTTTCCTCATATTCTACTTTTATGACTGGTAATGTACTGTGGATGTTGTTGTAATTTATTCTGGAGAGTTTTCCCCTCATATAATTTAAAGGCAGTAAAATTGACTTTCTGCATCAAATGTATTCCCATATAATGTGAAAAAATGTCACCCATAATTGGACTTCACAATTTCTCAGGTGATTGAACTTAAATAACTAAAAATTAGAAACAACATTTATGAAAATTTGGTTTAAAGTTGAGTTGTAATTCTACCAAAAAATAAAAAGAATTGGAATGTAATTTAATTTCTTTCAGTCTTTGTAGCCTAGTTTATGTTTTACAAATATTTATTAGTTCAGAAAGGATATTATGTTCTTCTTAAAGTTATCTACCAAACACATACTTGTATTGGCTATCAATCTCTTTATATTCATCAAACTATTTGAAAGTTTTGAGCTGCTTTTGCATGTAGAATTAATTCATTAATTCTTGTAACATTTTCACTACTATTATCAAAATACCTTTATCAGACAGGATTCAAATATACAAAGACTTAAGAAAATTTCCATTCCAACCTATACCAAAAATATTTCTGTCTTTTCAGACGTGAACACTGAGAAATTAACAATGGGTTTCCCTCCCGTACTTGTTTATGCTCTTGCTGTGCTGATTATCTGTTCTGATAAGTTGTGGGATCACAATTTGTGGATTGTGCATAATTGCGGTTTCAAGGATATCAAATAGTATATTGAGGTAGACATTTGGCAACAGATCCCCCAAATTCTAAAACCAAAGCTAAATACTTAATTTTGTTTGAATAGTAAGGCTGAGACCAAACTTCACATCTCCAAAATGTTATTCTTAAAGATTCCTTCCTTGAATATCTACTATCTGTTTTACAAACAGTGAAAGAATAAGTGGACTTTCTGGAGGTCAGCGTACCTTTGAGGACTGTAATTTATTTAGCTTTAAGATGGACCTAGTCTCTCTCTTTCATGGAATTTAGTTTCATGAGCATACCAGACGGTCACCAAATAATCACAAAAATAAATGTGTAATGTGCTCCATGAAAGAAAACATATGGTACTTGGAGAATAGATTAAGGAAAGTAGTTTAAATGGAAAGTTAGGGGAAAAAAAAACTTTTCAAAAAAATGGCATTTAAGCTGAGAGCTAAGGTCTATGCGGGATTTGTGCAGGTGAAAACATGGTGTGGAGAGTGTGTCCAGCAGCTAAGGGCCTAGCTGGCCTTGGCAGGGAAGGGCCAGTGTGTTGACCAGGCTGAGTCAGGAAGGTGTAGCAGAAGCAGCCACTTGGAAAGGGTTTTTAGGGGCCAGATATTTTAAGGCCTGCATAGTAACAGTATTTTTTATGTTACCTGGATATAGTAGGCAGCATTTAAAGAGTTACAGAGATTTTTATTTTTTTAAACATTGTTCAGGTTGTTCAGTGAAGAAAAGATTAAAGAGGAAACTTAAATCAACACATTAGGGTATTTTAAACAAATTCTTAGAAATGAACTAGATAAAGCTTCACCTCTTGCTATTAGAATTTTCTTATCTTTGCAGATTGAAGAATTTACCATTCTCATTTACCAAACTTAAAGAGCTTGCAGCATTGTGGCTTTCTGACAATCAGGTAAAAAAAAAATAAAATAAAAACACTTGCTTGGTAGATTTTTGGTTTATTAAGATGAACCATATTTGAAACTGAATTACTGACTTTTTTTCCCAACAGATGCCATTGACAAATATTACAAAATACAAATTTTTATCTCATGGAAGTGATATGTTTGTGAAGATACCAGTTTAAGCATTGTTGTAGACAAAACAGGACTATATTCTCTGCCCCTTAAAATATTTACATTTAGTGTCAACTTCATCATCAGAGATCACTTTCATAGTTTTTTACCCCTGATGAGACACATATGTCCTGAGAGGACGGACTTTAATCATATCTCTGAATGCAAAGAATAAAAACTGTTACCACAATCCCCACCAGGGCAAATTATTATCTACTATGTTCTTTTTCTTCTTGTGCTTTTAATTAGAATCAATTTAATACTTAAACTTTATTCCAGAAATTTTATGATAGCTTTTGGAAACTATTATCAGCACTTTCTGTTTTGATATTATTCTCTATATTCATGGAAATAGAATAATTGAATTTGTAATTGAGTACTACTGAATAATTTTATTGCATGAAAGATATTAAATAATTGGAGATAGCTGACTTGCCCCCAAAAGAATTGGAAATGTGTAATTTTCACATAGTTCATTAGTCCTGTATTTTCCTTGTTTCTAAAATTTTAAAATACAAATGAGCAAATGAAAAAAATCCATCTTGAATTTAGTTTATCATTATTTTGAGTATAACAATAGCATTACTACTAAATGAATTGTTTATATTTATGGCTATTGGGCTACTTTTGTGAAAATTAAAAACAACTTCTCCAAAATGTAAACTTGAAAATAATGTTTGATTTTCTAGTCATTACAACATTTCGATCAACCGACTAAATAAACACTTAGATTGTCATTCAAATCTTATCATTAAACTAAAGATTTTTCACAATATCAATATGTGGTAAGTCATTTCTAGAGTTTATGTGACTCTACTTCATGCATAGTATGAATCTGACAGCAAATTCCATTGTCCTTCTAAGGCAACAGCCCATGAAAATGAATAGGCATATAGAACCATTCAAAAAGCTAATTTAAGTTAAAACAGTTGAACATGTTTTCTCCTCGGAATCAAAACTGGCATTGCTCAGTTGAGTAGATTTTGATAAATTTTGCATTAAATGGATATAATATAGAAGAAGGAAACCTCATTATGAAAATCTTAGAATTTGAAAATATCCCTCAACAAGGGTCTTGTATGTTACGCTTCCTTACTCCATTTTGTCACTCGATTTTCTTTTGCTAGTTCATTCCTCTCGGGAGACCAGACGTCTATTGACCGTTATTGTGTCTGACACTGACAGTCTTCATGTTTGCGCTTGTAGGCATCTAATTATATGTGTTCTTGGCTTCCAGTCCAAAGCCCTTATCCCTTTACAAACAGAAGCCCATCCGGAAACGAAGCAGAGGGTGTTGACTAACTACATGTTTCCGCAGCAACCTCGTGGTGATGAAGGTAAATTGTCAGTAGAAGTTCTTATGTCCTTACAATGACCAGGGATAAAAAGAACAGTCATGTCCTGATGTCCATCTGGCAGGGCTGTCTCACAGACAAGCCCATAAACATAATCACACGACACACGTGTATCACTGGGGAGTGTAAGCAGGAGTCTCTGCATATACTATTTTAAGTAAGGTCCAGAACAAAATGCTTCCTCGTTATAACCGACACAAAAATGATGCTGACATTGGGAAGCAGCATCTCCTCATTGGGTTGCACCACCCAGGGCTGGTGGAGGACTGGTACCCAGCCAACCTCAGTGAGCTGACGGCAGCCAGAGCCTGGGGCAAGCTCAGCGGGCCACACCGTGTTCACGCGTGGTCTTCACACAGCTGAAATGGTCAGTCCAGTGATGTTGGACCCCAGATTGCTTCACGCTAGAAGTTAACTGTAAAGCGATGAGTTACAAATGATGAGCGTCTTTTCATTTTCACGCTGAATGCCCCTGAACAGTGTCAACTATGATAGAAATCCTTTTTAACAACCTAAACCTTTCTAAATAATTCCATCCTCTCTCCTGTGACCACATTCTTCATAAAAACTTTTCAGGGACTTTGTCTTCTCCGACCACGAGATACGCAGCATATGCTGCTTGGCCCAAGCCTGCTCCCTCTCTAGCCATAGATCCCAGTAACTGTTGGGCAAATAAACCCACTTTTACTATAGTTGTGGATTAAGTCCACCCTCTGGCTTAAATGAGACCAGTTTGTAAAATAAACCATTTGCTTGAGCATTTCTTATTTTCAGGGATAATTACAATAAATAACTTTGACTTCCAAATACAATTGAACCACGTAGAGATACTTTATGATATTTTTACTCTAATTTTGACCCACAGAAATAGTAAAAGAAGAGGTTGTTTTCATGTATATTTTTCAGATCTTAATAAATTGATCTTTTGAATATATGAAAAGCTGCCATGTTTACTTACATAAGAAATCTTAAGAAAGGACTATGTTTCGTTCACGCAGCTTTCCTCAAGGGATTTTCATTTTGATATTGCTAGGTTATCAAAATAGTTCATTTTCACAGAATGTAGGGAAAAATGAAAAGTGTTTCATATTCATGGTCATTTCTGAGATCCAGTCTCACAGATTAAGTCCCTAATTTCTCTAGGGTGTGAGATAAGTATAGACAAATAAGACACCCTGTGAAAGAACTTGCATTCACCTGCTTAGTTTTTGGTTTGCTTGTTTGTTTTTGTTTCTCCTTTGAGGAAAGAAAAGTTGCTAATTGAAAAATTTTCCTGAACTTCAAGCAAGCTGCCTTTCTGGTTTGTCAGGCAGGAACACAATTAATGAATTTTCAGAATCTCTTACACTAAACAAAGAAATGGCTGTCTTTTGAGAAACAATTTAGCCCAAAATAAGTACTTTTATTGTGTTTTAATGTAATCTTCACAATTACATTGCTAAAAAAAATATTACCATTAGCCAACATTTTGATGTCAGTTCTAGATTTATAAGGCATTTTCCCTGTTAATTTCAGACACATTTAAACTAATTGAAATCTTAAAGACTAAATCTTCTCCTTGTTCTCTACCATAAAAGCGAGCTCCCCTCCACTGCACACGTGTACACACAAACCCCAAAAGATGAACAAGAAAAAGTTGCAGCCTGGGGTACTTTATTCCATCATCAGCGGGCCATAGTAGCTCTTATTTTTTAGAAAACAAACTGAATGAGGGTTTAATGGTTACACATGGGGGCTCTGCAATCATGTAGACACAGAATGGAAACCTGCATTATCCCCGGAAAAGCTGCGTGACCTCAAGAAAATGTTGGAAGACTTGTAGTTTCCTCATTAATAGAGTAAGGATGGTATCAGCACTGCTGTTTAGCTGCTATGAGAAAGTGCTTTCTCTAGCTCTCTGTGTTGTTTTCTTATCCAGTGGGAACCCCATTTCTGGCATTAAAAACCTTGCCAGCCCCTTTGCCTGACGTACCAAAGAATAAGTCTGAGTTGAGATGTTAAAAGGATGAGATGTTGTAACAAATATCAAGGGGCTGGTACTCCTTTGGTCATTCTTTGCCTTCTTTCTCATTTCCTCTCTTTCTCTCTTCCTATTTCTCTTCCACTGTCTTTATTTTTGTATTGGTTTGTAGTACTTAGCCCCAGTTTTTGCATAGTCTACTAAGATCTGTGGGTGACACGCTATGTGTAAAATACATAATAAATAAACCAGCAGTAACGCTTTGGAATCTAACTGTAGATTTCCAGTCAGACAGTGACAGCTTCAATCCTACACTGTGGGAAGAGCAAAGACAACAGCGCATGACAGTTGCCTTTGAATTTGAGGACAAAAAAGAAGACGACGAAAATGCTGGGAAAGTTAAGGTGAACCTTTTAGCTTTTGTTTCTCTTTTCTTCCCTTATGCCTTGGGTGAGTCCAGAGCTATTATTCAAATAGATTTTGCCTTAAGAATCAGCTGTGCCGGAAGGTCAGGTCCATCTGGTCTCCTGGCTCCTTTCTGGGCAGCAGGCTGGTAGTGTGAGAAGCACTGGTGTGTTTCAGAGTGATGGCAAGGTCCCAGGCCTAACTCAGAGTGTGACTGCCACCCCACAGCAATGAGAGAGATTCAAGCTGGGGCCAGCGAAAAGCAGTGAAGTCTTAGCAGCAGCGGACTTTGTTCCACGAGGTGCTTTGTTTCCTCTTTCGCTGCGAGGCAGGAGCTTGCTTTTAACCACTGAGCAAGCAGCGCACAAACAAAGGCCAAAACACACATTTTCGAAAGAGCCAGCTGCCTACACGGTTCAGTGGTGCTAAATCTCTGAAAGTTTTTGTCTCTTCGACCCCTGAGAAGAATCTATGAGTTTCCTTAAATGGGAGGATAAATGTTAAGGTGAATTTCTACTGATGGATGGTCTTCCATAAGGAAAATAACTCCAATTGTTCCCTCTACACCAAAGTGTATTTTTAAATATACTTTGTTGGCATTAATCTAAAGACATGTAATGGTTGAATTCTGAAAATCTCTATTTTTCCATTGTTCAAATTTTCTACTACCGTCAGAATTGATATAGATTTTATTATCACCTGGTTTTCATGTTATTGTCATAGCAACGTCTTGAATCTCTCATTAATTTTTTTAGTATTATTTGTGTATTTTTTCCACTGTGAATACTAACAGCCCTCATTCTTAGTGACTAATTACCTAAGTACTTGTATATGCATCCTATTAATAATGTAGCTTGTGATATGTTGTATGTCCTCTCTCTCCCATATTTTCTAAATGTTATTTCTGAACCATTATCTCTAGAACCTTACTAGAATTAGTAAGGTAATTGAACATTTACCAACAACGCCTACTTATATCATTACAGAGAACCCAAAATGACTATTTCTGTTAAAGATTTGGGATTAAAACAATGTTTCTGAATGGTTGGTTAGTGTCATCTGCACCCAAAGACCTTCTTTTTTCTAAAATTTATGATTGGCTAGGGGAAAAAACTATGCTAAATTAAAAACTAACTAACCAACCAACCTTTGGAATATCTCAGTTCCTCACTGAAGGATTTCATTTGCTAAGTCTAGAATTAATAAATGATGGATTCTATCTTGTACCATTGATTCATTTTTATATTTCATGGAATTGTCAAAAACAACATGTTTTTCCTTAAACAAAACCTATGTAGAAAAATGATCCAAAAAACAATACATTCAATATGCTCTGGTATATGTATCAATGAAAACAGAATATAGTAAATGCAGTTATTTAGAAGCCCTGTTTGTGTGTTGTGATTAAGTCTGTTGATAATCTGAGTAGGTTCATTATACTTTAGAGGGGCTTTTCTTGATATTTACTTGTTCTTGGTGTATTGATATTTTGGTAAAACAGTGTGTTTTTCTAAAATCTCAAACCACTTGGCTTTGACTAATTTGAACATTTCCAATGCCACTGGCCATTGGACAAATTAGAGCACAAACAAACTTCTAAATAAATCATCATGGAAATATGATGAACAGAATAGACTGAAATCTTACACTAAATCAATCACACTTCTCTGGTTCATTACATGTATGTTAAATTTAGCCCTACTTTACCTCGAACTTACCTGAAATCCAAAGCAGAGCCGGTGGCTTCTGCCACCCACATTCCAATGGACTAGAGTATAATGCCCTACTTTGCATGTACACAGAATGAGTGTGGTAAAGCTGTAACTCTGCAGCTTCCTATGAAGTGCTAATTTACTACGTGGATTTAAAGCTGATCTTATTGGTAGCGGTTTTCAATGCATTACTCAGAATGAAAGAAACAAAGCCAAGCATAGAAAAGTCATAAAGTGAAAGTATTGCTACACTGCTCCTCTTTCTCCCAGAAAATGGAGATTCCTTCTCCTACAGGGTCTCTCCTGCCAAGCCCCCTGGGAAAGGGGCCAGCGTGGGATTACTCTCCAACCTGCCAGACTGTCTGGCGATTGCTGCACACCATGGGCCAGGTGTGATCAGCAGATCCAAGATATGCCCGTCCCCCAGAATGACCCACAGCTGGCATGGGGTTGTATAAGTGGTCTCCAGCAGGAAAGGAGCATGTGTACTCAATTACCAGTGGCAGCGCAGTCCACCACTCTTCCCTCTCTAAGTGGCAGACAGGTAGGCCTAGGTGTTTGGGGTAGGAGAATCCCCCTATAGAGGCAACTTTGGAACAGTGGTTTTTGGGGTACGTTCTGCATGATTTGGGGTAAGCAATGCTGATCACATAGCAACCTTCAGGTTGCCAGTGTCGGACCCTGAAGTAACTTTCTGGGTTTGTTGACATTGGCAGTAGGGTGGGAAGGACAGAGGCAGAGGGGAGGGAGCTTGGATGTGAGGTGCCGATGGTGGGGTACCTGGCATGGTGTTTCGGTGGGGGGCTGCATTTTTATTTACATTTCTTTTATCATTAAAGATTTTTTTCTTTAAAGTGTGGGAATACCAATAGTTGGGCAGAATGTTGATGATACCATTGGTACAGTCTAAATTGTCTTTCCCTTGCACATGTGCACTTTTTACATCATCCAATCTATGGGAGATTCAGTAGCTAAAATTCATTCTTAAAATAGCATGGGTCTAAATTGAGATTTGCCAAGAGTGGACTTTGAACACAAAGATAGAAATCTGTGAAAGCATCAATTTCCTTTAATTTGAAGATACAGATGATATGAATTCCTATAAGAGAAGACCGGGATGGGAGTCATAGCACATAAGGGCTTCCTTATCTCAGTGGGGCTGGGTGTTTCTGAGGTTAAAGGGAGGAAGAAAACAACTTAATGCAATATGAAAGAACACTCCGTGTTTGGTGAGCTTTACTATCCACATGTAATGGACTAGATTCTTACTCTGTGTCTTATATTCTTCCTACAATATAAGACAAGCTGAGCCTGTGTCCTCCTAACTACCTCTGCTCTGAGTTTTCTCTCTTTGTGAAACATTCCAATTTAATTCTGACAATAAAGTAGTATTTAATTATCAGTGATCAAAAAGCACTATGATTTCTCTTACTGGAATTGACAAATCAAATGTGAATTTAATCACTGTGGAATATATTATATTATGTGGGTATAATATAATATATAAGAAGTGTTCCATGTGAATTCAAGATATCATTTCCAAATGCCCAAGCTATTAATGTGAAGTAATTCTTCAGTGCTAAATGTTTGGGGGTCTCCAATATCTTATAGCTGCTATTTGCCTTTACTGTACTTTATCTAGATTTGAGATGCCTAGACTGTTGTGAAACATTTCTGTTTTCCAAAGTTAAAATATTTTAGTAAAAATATTGCATTTTAATAAAATGTTTTTGTGCTATGAGCAAATACTTTATAGTGAGTGATAAAATGCAAAACTTTTATAAGAATATAATTGATAGACTTTCCCACTTAAGTATACGAAACGAATTTGTATCTTTTCATGCTACATTAGAATAAGGGAATATTTCCATCCTTATTTATAGTTAAGAATATAAAGAGACTGCCTTTATATTTGAGAATTACTGGGCTATTAATGTAACTGTTTATTCCTGTCTCAGGTTCTCCATGCAAGAGTTGAAAAGTGGGAAAGTTGTCTGGGAAAGAGCATTAAATGTGCTTGTGCAGAGCTTAAAACAAAACACACGTTAGAGCTTAATCTTAAAGGAATTTTTAAAATAGCTACTTAGCTGTATTTTTAACTGAAATTATCTTGTTTTTAAGTTAATAAAATTCACAGTGTAGACTGTCAGTACTCCTTTTACCAGAATGCACCCATATGTTCTGCACCTACAAATAACACTGCTGAACCAAAAACCATTGTCAGAAAGACCCAGTTTGAACCTGATCTTAGATGAGATACTTATATTGCAATTTTCCTGCTGTAAAGTGGGAATAGCTGTTGTAGTCATTTATGAAATTTAAATAAGATGCAGTTACAAATTAATGATTCACCCTATAATAATTAATAACCATTTATTATTTAGTACGTAAATAGTAATGTATATTTAAACCTATAGGATCTATTATAAATAGTGTCATATATTATATAAATAATTAATAATAAATTAAGTATCCCTGTAAAACATTCAGCTTGGTGTCTGGCACAAGATATGTACTGAATAAATGATTACTTGCTGCATCCAAAAAAATAAAAAAGTTTAGTCAAAGATTTAGTCTAACAATATAATTGTTAGATATCAGGTGCAGGGTTTAAATTACCAAAGGAGTCCAGATTTTGTAAATGCCTAAGTAAAATCTATATTAGACATATTTAATCTCTGCATGGAACTCACAGATTTTCAAAGGATCTTCACATTTATCTCATTTAGCTTGAAATTAACCCAAGCATGTGGGGAGGATGTTAATATTCTCACTTTTCATGAGTAGATGGACATGAAGATTAGCAGTAGCAGTGAGCTAGGGTTAACTGACTTCAAGTTCAGTGAGCTTCCCAAGGAGACGGGTATATCAGAAACGAGGCGCTCGTTTTCAAGGTAAAATGAATCAAAGTTTTATGAGACCTGTCGTTCCCACATTTGGGGAAAGGCTCATTACAGAAAAAGACAGACATAAAATGACTCCATGAATACATAAATGGGCTACTCACATGGCTTTGAGAGAGAAATGTAAAAGTGATAAATCTGTTTCTAGATTTAAATAATTTTATGGAAAGAAAATACCCAAATTCTAGTGATACGGCCAAAATACCACATTAGCTTGCTTATAAAATAACCAGGCAACATTAGCAAACAATCATCTAATTGTGTCAAATGGGATGGAAAATTTATAAAAAGTATATTACATTATTCAGTGACATATTTAATTTAATTAAGAAAGAGCATTTCACATTTTCTATTACCTTCAATTCAGTTTTGAAGTGTAATTTTAAGTGTTGAAGATTTTTAGTTGTGCAGAATTTTAATTTAATGCCCTACTTTATTTCATATACCACTGGTTATTAAAAATAAGGGAATATTCTAAATTGGCATGATAGTCTTAGTATTCTGCAACTTATTTTTAATGTAGTTTCTTGACTTTTAGCCTTTTGATGTCAAGTACTTTTAAACAAGTTCAACATTATAACTTAAAATTAGATTTAACTCATAATACTTCAATGCCAATTTAAACAGAAAACCTCACATGCATGAATTCCAGTGTACTTTGTCCAGCATGGACATCACTATTTTGTGTTTAAGAATGCTTTACAAACTTAGTACACTGGGGGATATTAATATTACATCAAGAACTTATACTTCTTGTTCTATAAAGTCTATCCTTGTCTGGGGTTATTAGAGCTTTATTGCTGTGTACCATTAGTTTTGTTCTTAATTACTTGGGAGTGAAAAGGTCTAAATGCCTTTTAGAACACTTACCTAGAAATGTTAATTGATGTTTTTAATTCCTTTCCAAATATGTATTGGCTAAGTAATTATGCATCTTAAATACAAAACGCAGTGTTAGAAATCATCTAGTGAAGTCCAACCCTACTATTTGATTAGGAAAAGGAGCTACTAGGAAGACAAAACACTAAGAAGAATAACACAGTTGGTGGATTTGTTAAAACTGCAGATGAGCAAAAGCGTTTGAGTTTCTAGTCATGACTCTCAGAGCTCTCCCATGCCATAGACTCTTACATCCCATCAACCCATAGGTGGCAGAGTGGGTGCTGGGTGCCACTCCCCACACACACACTTCCTTCTGTTTTCCATTCTCTCTTCCACCTTCTTTCTCCCTCACCACCCTCACAAGCACACTTTCCACGAACGTGGACTCACCACGGTCACATGAGCCATCCCATTTTGTGAAGTTGGTTCTACTCAGATTCAGAAAGGCATGACCATGGAAAGAAGGCAAAGTCAATCTTCACTATTTTTCTCCAATCCCTTTCGAGTAACATGGACAGCGTCTATTTATTCTATTTTAAATACATAATAATAAGTATTCTGATGGCAGGATACTCTGTATGAAATAAATTTATTATTTAAAGTAGCCATTAATATGTATTCCTGAAATCAGATTGATTCCCCAACATAAAATTCAAAAATGGACATAAATGCCTACATAACTATAAGCTAAAATGTATAGATTTGCCAAAAATATATTAGATAATAGTCTCACTTTTCATTCCTTTTTGTTGAAAGATACTTTTCAAGAAGACATTACCTTATTAAGATTTTAAAAAATGTAAAATTCACCCCAAAACATTTTTTCCTTAGGTATTTTCGAGAATTAGCTATCCTGCCTTTTGATATAGCCTGCTAATTATATATTTAGGCAGAAGTTATAAACTTCCCACTTTTTCAATACACGTAGAGTATACAATTCAATACAAGTAAAGTACAAGCTCTACTTGTAAATCTTTGGGGGTCTCCTTCCATTGCCTGTATTAGGATTCCAGTGATATTCTTAATATCAAAATTATTACTTACAAATAATGTAGGGAAGTGAAGAATCTCTGGAGAATGAACACTGCAGATAATAACTTGACTGTGTTTTCCAGAGACTACCCATCCCTTCAGGGTTTGACCTGTTACTATTTCAGACATCTAAAGGGTAGCTCTAAAGATGGGATGTGATCCAAAAAAACGTTTATTAGTAGAAGTGTAGGAAGGGGTGGGGAGAAGTCCCAGGAGGCCAACACGAGAAGGACACATGCGTTCTCCTCGGTCGTGGTCACCCCACCAGCTCACCACTCACTGTATTGCATTTGGTTCTTCTGCATTTGGCACGGCTTTGTGAATGGCATGCTTGCTGAAGTTCCTTTTATGTTAAATTTCTTTTTATAAACTTCTAGGTTGAAATAAACCTAAAACGATATCCAACTCCTTACCCAGAGGATTTAAAGAATATGGTAAAATCTGTTCAAAATCTGGTGGGTAAGCCAAGCCATGGAGTGCGTGTTGAGAATTCAAACCCAACTGCTAACACGGAGCAGGCTGTGAAAGAAAAATTTGAACACAAGTGGCCGGTGGCCCCCAAGGAGATAACAGTGGAGGTATTTGAAGGTTATTGGTAATTGCCAGTGTGGTGTGGATTTTTTGGAATTCTAAAGGATATGGTTTTTTTTTTCTTTTAACTGAATAGATCTTTCAGGATAAATGCATTTGTTCCATAAAATAGAAACGATCTCTTTACTCTTTCAAATAATGAGGGTTGCATTTAGTCAATCACAGATCACCCTCACATCCTGAAATCACAACACCACTCCTGAAGTTCCAATACACACAGAATGAATAGTTTCTCATCTAAGTAGGCACAGCCAGGGACCTCATTGTATTAGTGATGTAATTTCAGATACCTCAAACTTTTATTGTGTCCATCACTAGGAAAAAAACCCAAGATTTTTCATTCTTAAAATTTCTGTAAAATTCTTAATCAAGTTTAGAGCAATGTTTTTCAATGTTTTCATGTTTGGGTCACAACTTTCATAGAAAAATGTTGCTTTTGACAGCTAAAAGACAAGGTGTACTTGGGTTTGTGGAATTTAGCCCTGTGAAGCCTAATTCCTCTGCTTTTGAATGAATTAGAAATTCATCCTTACTGATTTGTGCAGTCTGAAAAGAATTCAACTACATTTATGCCACCTCTACTCTCTCATCAACTCTTCTCTAATTTAATTATCATCTTTCTGATCTCCATTAGAAGTATAATCGGTGTGGATGCCTCTAAGTTCATATTACTTCTCAAAAGCTCTAAACTGATAAAACTCTTTTACAAATCTGCATTTCAAACAATCCGTTGCATTTGTGAAACACCAACTGTAAATGTAGCACTGTGCTAGACACGTAAGAGCAGAAGAAATATAAACTGTCTCCAAAGTCCCCAAGTACCTTAAGGTGTAGTCAGATAAATATAATACATGGCAAGAGATCAGAGAACACATTTTGTAGAGTCTGATCACATGACAGGTTGCTTGATGGAAAATATAACACACGAAGTTAGGCCTGAAATGCATATTATAGATTGGGTGATTCTTTTGCAGTGAAAAGCACAGGAAACATATTAGGTAAAAGGAAGATTTTAAGCAAAAATAAGTCCAGTGTGCACACTTATTGGCACAAATATCTGTCCCAGAAGAGGGAAATGCACCTGGATATCAAAGGAAAAAAATTTCTCAAGTGTTTATTCTCATGGCTTTGAGTTTATAAAATGATCATCGTTGTATTTCCTCTTTTCCAAAATGGCTATTTTAGCTCTAATATATTACAAACATATAAAAAGGACCAAAACTAATATTTTTCATGTACGCTAAATACAAATGTATAGTTTATTTTTAAATCTCATATGATCACAGTTTAAAATCAAAGTAACTCTGCAGTCATGAAAACATTTAAGCTCAGTAAAATTTACTGCTAAAGTAAGATGATCCTAGAATCACTTAGTTGGGGATTAAGCCAAGACAGGGAAAAGATAGCTTTGGTCATGAATTTAATAATAACCCTGCAGTAGAGCTAATAAATCTTAAATTTGTCCCATGAGTACTTCAAGCTTAACAAATCTAACATTCAGTTAAGCGTTTCTTTATCAGACTTGTTTCTGCTCCTATATTCTTGGTCTTAATCTCAGCTGGTAGCTTTACCTACCATTCTTTCAGCAGAGAACTCTGGGAGGTGGCCTGATTTCTACCTCCTTCCTTCCTATTGCCCTTCTCCCTTCAAATCTCAAGTCCTCCATTCTTTCCTTCCTTTGTGTACAGACCTGTTTCTTGGCTTACTTTGTCCCTAACCTCCTCATTGCCTCTGCCGAGACCTTTCTAGAAATAACACAAAATCTAGTCATACCTTGGCCTTCCATGACAGTGTGCTTTTTTACATCTACAGAGAATCCATGCTTCCTAACTAGCTAGAGTAGAATCGTTACATGGGGGTAAAACCAGACCTCACCTTTCAGCTTTACATTTAATTTTGTGGCTTGCTCCACCTATTTCTTAGTTTTCTCTGACTGCTTTTTCCCCTTGAAGAGAGATTTGACTGGCAATTTCAATGTTTTCTCTAAAAGCGAGATTCTCTGTCTTCATTCCTCCTTTCAGCCATGCTAGAGCAAAGAGAAACTGTCGCTTCCTGTATCATCCTCCTGCCTCAAAGTCAAGGCAGCCAGATTAAGGCTCACACTTCATTTTTCCAGTGTCCGTATTTAATAAATATCAATAAATCAACCATCAGCCACTCCAGGGAGACTAATCATTTATCCTGTGTTTCCCATTTGCAGGCATCGTTGTTTAGTTCTTACTGCCAAGAATGTGTAAGAGGGTATTTTATTAAACAGTGCATCGTGTATTTATCCATGTGTGCCTGAATACAAAAGCCTAGGAGAGAAAAATAGAGGTTGGCGGGAGCAAGAGCAAAAACAGAAAAAAAGCAAAGGTAAATAGATTATGAATGCAGCCAAAGAAGCAGGGAGAGGAAAGGTAAACCAGCAGTTATGGCTCTCTGTTTACTTGCTGTCTCTGTGCCAAGAGTTTTAACATATGCTATGCTAATTGCAGAAAAGACTCAGGAGGCCAAAAGAACAAAAACAGGTTTCCAGGAAGGCTCCCCTTCCTCTATTTTCCCCTGTAGTGCCTTCTGGAGACTGTGCAGTGTTTGGATTTGCCAAATGCTCCTCATATGGCTGGTACTGCCTCAGCCTTCAAGTTTCACCTGAAAGTCACCTCAGCAGAAAGGCTTTCCTGACCAGTCAGACTCTGACTTGCTCAGCTGCTTCACCTGTGTATTTCTGTTAAACAGAAGAAACATAAGTAGGGTAACTTGGCTTACTGACTGTGAGTTTCGCAAGGGCAGGGACTGTTCCTATATTTTTTTGTCATTGTACAGATAGTCCCTAACAGTTTAATATTGTGGAATAAGTTGATGACTGATGAGATCCCAGTAGTGTAAATCTGTTGACATGTCCGCCTCACCATCCAGTTACAAGTTTGTTGAAGTCGAAGACCATTTCTGATGATTTGCCGACTGTTGGCTGCCTTTCACCCACTGAAATAGTCCCAAATTGTCAGCCCACTTTTCCAACAAAACTAGATATCAGTCATACTTTACACCTGTGCATTGAATACACTCTTGGTACATGAATGCCCAGAGTGTCACTTATGTAAGTGACCTAAGACCAAAATAAATATTTAACAGTTCAAATTAAATAGACATAATATTTATCAAAATATTTATGTTCTCCTAAGTAGTCATTTGGGAAATAATACAACATACACATAAACTGGGTGAGAAAATATTTTTTATCTTTTGCTTAATATAAGTAAAACCACGTACTACTCAGATGCATGCACAGATTAGGTGGCACTGCCCTTCTCAAACCTGGAATCACAGTGGGGACCATCGGGCTAAGTCCTGTTTCATACTCATTACAGCCCCTGAAACTCAGCTTCACAAGGATGCTCGTCAGAAATGATGTGAGATCCAGTGCTAAATCAGAGCAGGCAGGTAGCCTGGTGTCTGACTGATGTTAGGTGTCGTTTGCTCTCCATTGGACACTTACTGTCACCCATGATGCCGCTGCGAGTTATCAGCAGCACTCAGAGGCACCTCAGAGCACAGTTCACAAGCAAAATGGAAGAGTATTTTCTTAAGCCTCTCAGACATGACCTGAAATCTTGGGTCTACCTTGTTCCAATTACAGACCTTTGCAAGTCGAGTCACTGAAACCTTTCTGAGCCTTTGTTTCTGATCATTAAAAATAAAGATAATATTAGCACACTTTCAGAGATTTGTGACAATTAAATCAGCTGACAACTAAGGAAGGCTAGAGTTAGGGATGATTCCTGCTCGTGGCTTGAGAGACTGGTGGGCTTATTTTTGCCCCATCTTGCTTTAATCCTCTGTTGGTCACCAGCCGAACACCTGTTTACCCTGTCTACTCCATTCAAAAGTGTTCTCAACCTTTCACCTCCTTGGGAGACATAGCCTAGATTCCTCTGCAGAAGAACCGTATCTTTCTCCCAATCATACACTATGATCAACTACCCTTGAAAATGTTCTTAAATCCCCTTTATCAGTATGAGACCTGGACTCTCATTCAGATATAGCTTCTTTGTTTCCCTCTGCAGTCTACCCATAGGATCCCTCTCTATGACAGTAATGGCCAAGATTTCATTTCATCAGTGGAAAGACAACGAGATAAAAAGAAATCTTACCTTTGCTCCCCACCTTCCTTCCTCTTATCATCTCACCAGAAGAAAATACATTTTAGTGTGCTTGTAATGAGTCTCTTGTTAAATTCAATTGTCTTATCAGTAACCTGCACTGCTTTCACCCTCTGAAATAGTACCAAATTGTCAACCTACTTTTCCAACAAAACTAGATATCTCCACCCTCCATGAGAGGATTTCTAGAACAAAGCCAATGATTAATTTCCCTTACTGGACAGTTAACTTTGTTCAGTGAAACCCATTTAGGAAATGATCCTTTCTTGGGACATATAATATATATTATAGACAAGTAATTTATAAAAGAGCATTGAGCTGGGCAGATCTGAGTTCAGTTTCTGACTCTTAAGTTTCTGATTTGGAATAGTGCTTCTATCTCACTGTGCCACCATTTCCTTAGAACAAAGATAATGATAGTAAGTATATTTTAAAATAACACATCGTTTTTAAATAACTAATGGAGACAGCATTGGTAGCTTTCAGCGTGGTGGAACAGTTGCAGAAAGGTGGTCCATGCCCTATAGCAGAGACCCATCACCATCTTTACCTCCACCACGTTACACATGAAGATGAGAGCCTTCAGCTGGGTCCATGCAATCTCACATTCTTGCCTAGTAATGTTCCACTTTGACATGGAGAATCACAGGACTCTGGAGAAAAGATGTAAGTCATGATGACATGATCACCACATTCTTTCCCTGGTCACCAGGGCTCCTTTTGATTCACAAACAGAAGTTCTTGACCAAGGTCAGAAATTTACACCTGGGTTAGACCACAGTTACCATACAGGGTTCTGGTCACAACTTTAAGTGACAGTTTCATTAGTACAAACACTTGAGTATCCAGTGTGTAGGTCATAAGGAAAAAAAGACCAAAATGTTTAGTAATATTATGACTTTACATTCCTACAAATGTTTCTTTTCTTTCATTGTATCCCTAGCTTGAATTTTTTTCTTTATTAAAATAAAATTCCTATGTTCTATTAAGTATCATAAAATTTCCTTTTTGAGTCATTATTTCCTACAAATCATTTACCTTTAGTTTCATAAAATGTTAGTACCAGACATAAATTAGTGCTGACTCCTATCTCTCCCTTTGATTGTAGAGCTACACTAATTTCCCAAGAAATCCTGACTACTAAGTTAGGAAAAGAAAATAATATGACAACTTATAACTGAAATGTTTTAACAAGTCAGTGTATTTGGTGCCTTTCTCAGTGCTGCTTCTTAAACTTGCATCTTCTTATAAATTTGTCCAGGGATGCACTAAGGTTTTTCTTCCATGCTATGTCACTCTAAAGCTTGATCAGAAGTTTCTCAGGCTGAACTTTGAACTTATTTTCAAAATGCATGGAAATACAAATTCCTCTGCTTAGCCCCAAGATTTTCACCCTTTCCTATCCCTCTTCAAATCAAATTCTTCATTTCACACCTTCTAGATTGCTGAGCTAGAAGCCAGGAGAATTGTAATCCAGTACTGTGCAGTGTGTAGGTGTCTGTGTGAACCTACACTTGAACTGGGTCTCAGAACCTTCCTCTAGACAATGGCAGAGTTAGCTTAATGATCTTGCAGTCTTCTTCTATTAAAAAAGTTAACAAATATTAGATATATTAATGTCTAATGGATTTTCACAGGCAAATATTTCTGTAGAAACCTAGGATGAGAGAGAGAGGAAGAAAGAAAAGAAAGAAAGAAAGAAAGAAAGAAAGAAAGAAAGAAAGAAAGAAAGAAAGAAAAGAGAGAGAAAGGTTGTCACTACAGGGGGGTACTTGTCAACATATAATTTTATAATAAGGGTTTCTGTCAGTTGATTATACCAACAAATTAAGTATTCAGTGGGTCTTACTGAATTTCAGATATTTGTCATTGGGCATTTTCTTTGACTTAACAATAGAGGTCTATATATGTTTAGTTCAATGTTCCAAACTAACAATAACAAATGAAAAACAGAAAACTCTTTGAACTTAAATAGATGTGAAATTCAAGAAAAACAGATATAAAAATAACATAATTCTCTACCATATAGGCATATGTAAAGCATTTTTATAGCTAGAAGAAAAGGGATGATTGTTATTTTGTCTTTTGTCCCACTGCTTGGTTAACTGGAGTCAGGATTTGCATTATAGATATCTCAAATCTGTAGGTGTTTCCACATTCATTTGTCATGGTAAGGATATATTCTTACTCCATTTGTGAGTCGTTACACTCCAAGAATGGATACTAGGATGAATATTTGACAGCCTAGTTCGGTATGGAAAATTGGAAATTTGGGGGGAAATAGTGGTAGAGCTAAAGCAATCGGGGAGACAGTCATGTTGACAATACTAAGAGTTAGGAGGGAGAGCTACAGAGCAGGACTTAGGGGACCCAGCGGAGCATCAGTGTGGCCCAGGATGAGAAACTCCCGGCTAGTCAGTGACACACTTGTCCCCTGGACCTCTGCCAGCTCACCCCTTAGGACTCTTGTGCGTATAAATGCCAAGCATGTGTCTGAATTACTATTCACAGAGGGCACATTCTGATCCAGCCCTGTTGAAAGTGAGTTCTCACTCATCTCCCCAGCTGACTGTCCCTTCCCAGAGGGCCACATTTTGTCTTTCTTTGGATACTCCACGCTTCTTTGCACAGTGCCAGGCACATAAACAGCATTGGAAAATATGTCTGATGAATAAATGGGCTCACTTAAATCAGAAAAAGAAATTTGTGCTCAACTCAGAGATACATATGGTGCGCTTTTCCAAATGCCCCATGTTGAACTAATCCCTAGAGCCATGTTCTTTGAATCTGAGCCAGATAAAGATATTGCCATCTTGGTTAACCTTTGTTTAAATGTTTACTTTCCTTGTCCTGTATTATTATATCTCTCAGGATTCTTTTGTTCATCCAGCTAATGAAATGAGGATTGGGGAACTTCACCCTTCATTAGCTGAGACCCCTCTGTACCCACCCAAACTTGTTCTGCTAGGGAAGGACAAAAAAGGTAACATCGTGATGCTCATGTGCAAAATACGCTACCGATGCATGTGCATGATGACCCGCCAGCTGTGAATTTTTTGATGTGCCGTAGCCTATAAAAATAGTTTACAAGCTCGCATTCCTAACATTAATCAGTGCGGAATCTGTTGTTCATGCTTACTTTTCGGGGTGTGTAATCCTCATTGGTCGTAGCATTATAACGTGTTTCCCCTTTAAATTTCAGAATCAACTGATGAGTCTGAAGTTGACAAAACTCACTGTCTGAATAACAGTGTTTCCTCAGGCACTTACTCAGACTACTCGCCCTCCCAGGCTTCCTCAGGATCCTCTAACACCCGGGTTAAAGTGGGGTCCTTGCAGACTACAGCTAAAGATGCGGTTCATAATTCTTTGTGGGGTAACAGGTGTGTTGAGAATTCCCACGATTCTGTTCCCAAATGCTTATTTCCAGCCACTTTGTTTTTAAATGGAATCTTCTTAATCCTGGAATTGCGGTACAGCTCATGAGTGGCACAGAAGACAGAGGGTAGGTAAGCAAATGAAGTGTACCAGGCATTTCCAAGAGTGGACAGACCCAGCCTTTAGGACAAGGCCATCGGTTGAGGGAGCAATGGTAAGAGATTCGCAGGTCCAATGCTGCTCAGCTTAGAAGTCAAAGATTGTGTTTGAGCAACATGCTGTTGAGGCACATGGACATTTCACAATCCAGAATGGTTTATGAACTAAAATGAGATCTGATGAAGGCACATATGTACCTGGAGAAAGGTCAGATATCCAAACAATTTTCATTACCATCGTCATCATCATCATTTATCATGACCAGGTGTGAGGATACATGCAAAGGTCCTTGATCTCCCCAAAATGCTTCTTCCTCTAAGTTACCCCCACTTTATCCATGAAAACACAAATGTTATACAGCAGAGTAAAATGACTCCAAAGCAGTGTTTTCCCCCTTCTAATTCATTTTGTAGTTTGTCACTACATTTTATACTACAAATAACAAATAAAAATTGTCCTATGATATAAGTAGTGAATTACATTTGCTCATACATTAACTGACATTAGTGCAACTCAGGGCAGTGTTTTCGTTAGTACTTCAATGAGTGATTATTTTTATTTGTCAATGCCCACGGAAAAATCTCAAAGTCAGTAAAATAATATTTGTTATATATCTGATATTGGTGTGGGTACTTTTGGAAGATGCCTTTTGAATACATTTTTTCCCAATTGGTAGAAGCACATAAAAGCCTTTCACTCAAAAAGATGTATCATTTAATATTATTAGTGTGTAAGTGATTTAGAATAAACTTGAAAAATGAGCATATGCTAGAAATATGCAAGAGATGGCCACTGAGATATAAACAGGCCAATCACCTGAAGTCATAGTGTGGCTGCCATTCTAAAGAGAGGTGTCAAAATTGCTCTCTATTCAAGGGTTCTGAATAGAACACAGCCTTTTTAAGGACAATTTGGGTCACTAGATATACCATGACTCATTAAGAAAGCACTTTCAGGCCTTAGTTTAGAAATATATGGAGCCGAAGTCAGCAGGGATGGCAACTAGGAGGCACGTGGTTCTAATTACCAATCAGATTTTAGGACTCATGTTTTATTCATTCATTCATTCATTCATTAACAAATACCTGCTTAAACCTATTGTGCGCCCTTCATTATTCTGAGCCTGGACAGAAAATGATTTCTGCCCTCAAGAACTTACAATTCTAGCAGAGGACACAAGATGGTCAATAGAATGAAATACCATGGGTAAGTAAATTTTACACAATGCTAGAAGAGAATGCTACTGGGGAGAAATAAAAGTGTGAGCAGGACTTATTTTAGTAGGGGCCGTGAACTGATGATGTGGTGTTACCTTACTCACGATTCCCGAGAGGGTGCATAATCCGCTCTCCAAAAGGAGATCCCCTTCCTTGCTGTTTGCTTGCTCTGTGGGCCGGACCGACTGGTCTTCATGTCTGTGTGTCTTCTGCTGTGTTCACAGGATCGCACAATCTTTCCCACAGCCTCTGGACGCAAAGCCATTACTCAGCCAGCGGGAGGCTGTCCCCCCAGGGAGTCTGCCACAGCGGCCCGACCGACTGCCCATGAGCGACGCTTTCCCTGACAGCTGGACAGACGGCTCCCACTACGACAACACCGGGTTCGTGGCTGAGGAGCCCGCAGCTGAGAACGCCAACAGTAACCCTCTGCTGAGCTCCAAGGCCAGGAACGCGGCTCCGCATGGACGCAGGCCTTTGATCAGGCAGGAGAGGATCGTCGGGGTCCCCCTGGAACTGGAGCAGTCCACGCACAGACACACACCAGAAACAGAAGTGCCTCCTTCCAATCCTTGGCAGAATTGGACCAGAACCCCCAGTCCATTTGAAGACAGGACTGCTTTTCCCTCTAAGTTAGAAACAACCCCCACCACCAGCCCCTTGCCCGAGAGGAAAGACCATATCAAAGAATCTACGGAGATACCCAGCCCTTTCTCCCCGGGAGTGCCATGGGAGTACCACGATGCCAGTTCCAACAGGAGTCTTGGGAATGTCTTTTCTCAAATCCACTGCCGCCCGGATTCTTCAAAAGGTGTGATCTCCATGAGCAAAAGCACAGAGAGGCTGTCTCCGCTCATGAAAGACATAAAGTCCAACAAGTTCAAGAAGTCGCAGAGCATCGACGAGATCGACATCGGAACCTACAAGGTCTATAACATCCCGCTGGAGAACTACGCCTCGGGGAGCGATCACTTGGGCAGCCACGATCGGCCGGACAAGATGCTGGGCGCGGAGCACGGCATGACCAGCATGTCTCGGAGCCAGTCGGTGCCCATGCTGGACGACGAGATGCTGGCCTACGGGAGCAGCAAGGGGCCGCAGCCCCAGAAGGCGTCCATGACCAAGAAGGTCTACCAGTTCGACCAAAGCTTCAACCCTCAAGGAGCCCTGGAAGTGAAGGCCGACAAGAGGCTGCCGCCCGCCTTCCAGCACGGCCCGGAGTACGCGGCCCCGGCCGGCAAAGGCCTGGCCAAGGACCTGGTGAGCCCGCGGGCGTACCGCGGCTACGCGCCGGTGGAGCAGGCGTTCTCCTTCTCCCAGCCGTCCGTCAACGAGGACGCGGTGCTCAGCGCGCAGTTTGCAGGCCAGGGCGGCCGGCCGGGCTTCCTGAGGAGGGCAGACTCGCTGGCCAGCTCCACCGAGATGGCCATGTTCCGCAGGGTCAGCGAGCCCCCCGAGCTGGGCCCCGGCGACAGGTACGGCAGAGCCGCCTACAGGGGAGGGCTGGATCGCCAGAGCAGCGTGGCGGTGACTGAGTCCCAGTTCCTCAAGAGGAACGGCAGGTGCGAAGAGGAGCACCCTGCCTACCAAGAAGTGAAGGCGCAGGCGGGAAGCTTCCCCGTCAAAAACCTCACCCAGAGGAGGCCCCTGTCGGCCAGAAGCTACAGCACAGAGAGTTACGGGGCCTCCCAAACCAGGCCAGTGTCAGCTAGGCCTACCATGGCAGCTCTTTTGGAAAAAATACCGTCTGACTATAACTTGGGTAACTATGGGGACAAGCCAGCAGATAACAGTGATGTAAAGACGAGGCCCACCCCTGTGAAGGGAGAGGAGAGCTGTGGCAAAATGCCTGCAGACTGGAGACAGCAGCTGCTTAGACATATAGAAGCTAGAAGGTTAGACAGGGTATGTTTGGCCTTTCTCTGTAAGCATCTCCCACCCCTGCCTCTAGATTTGCTTTCTGGGTGTTTCTGAGCACGCGTAGTGAAGCATGAACTACATCCATGTCTCAGTAGACGGGCAGCGTTCTGTGTATCGTGACGTTGTGGGGAAATGGATCCTGATAGGTTTTTATTAACATTATTATTTTTATTATTATTATGACTTTCCCAAGGGTATTGCTTGGTGCTTTCTGAGAATCCATAACTTGCAAGTGAATTATTTATCAAATCAAGCCTAAATATTGTTAGTAAAAATTGGACTCTATTATATGGGGATGGTGCTAAAATTGTTTTCAGGGCATTAAGGCAAGCCAGATGTCTCTCCCAGGACATGCAATGGTCCTCCAGTGACCAAAGGAGTATGATTTTTATTGAATCTCTAAGAAGTGAGTCATCCACCCTTTTTTGCACAGACTCACTTATATTAAACTCAGGCATGATTTGTTTATAAAATTTGCACATACTTACTGCTATGGGACTATTGAAGTTATTACTTCTAATGAGCAATAATCTTCCCAGCAAGAAACAGAAAAATAAAATAAGCAGAGATTAAGTGCCCTCCTACACACTATTTTATTTAATAAAATTCCTGCCATTTAGAATATGGGTTTTTATATAGAAGGAAATATTTAAATTCAAATCATACTACAGACAGCAGAAATAGATGGTGTCCTTATAAAAACAACAGATGTACAAATTAGCATGTACATTGTAGAAAAAGAAGGAAATTAATCCTAATTAAGTTAAAAATTGAGTCATAAAAAGTGTGGAATGCACAGTGATTGGGAGAGTCTTTTAAAAGTATAAAACCTAGAAATGGTTTGGATTTGTTGTTGTTGTTGTTGTTGTTGTTTTGGGGGTTTTTTGTTGCCTGTTCAAATCTAAGGGAAGGCCACTGCTTCGTTTTCTAGAACAATTATCAATTTGCCATCAACACGCAGAATACTTTGTGGCTTTGGTTTGGAGGGCTTTGCATACTCTGCATTGCATCAGAATCTTCAAGGTCTTTTCTGTGAACCTGAGGCCTTTTGTTCTCATTTTTTAGGTTTGGATGCTCTGTGTAAACTGGGGATCTGAGTAATAATATGCCATAGAATGTTTCAGTGGACAGTTTTATTATTTTAGTGGATGTCCTGCAGAAAGCTCAGGCCACAGCCTTTATGGTGTATTTCTTTAAAATGAAATGTTGTGTTTTCAGGCTGACTCTAAATAATTACATTCTTTGTAGGTTGTGTCTACATGACAAGAACAGAGTTTTGTAGGGAAGATGTGAGCTAGTAGTACTGGTGGGTGCAGGTGTTAGTTTCTCCGTGTGGAAATTGGTTCTGCCTTGCAAACTACTTCATCAGAATGTCTGTTTCAGAAAGGTGTGCTCTGTCCCTTTGAAGGGAGTCTCATCCGGGCCCTGTGACTGGCTGTCAGCGGGAGACACCTGCTCAGTAGTCACCATGCCTTACCTCGAGTTATACCCTCCATGTAGACAGGTAACTTGGAGGGCGAAAATATTTGGGGCCAAATAATATAGTACTATTTGGAAACTCTGGCCTCGTGTAGACACAACCCTACCTAATGGGGTAAGATGAACTAGTCCAGAAAGGTTGTGAGAAGCGTTGGTTCAACAGAGGAGCGAGTGAAACCAGAGCATGAAGATGAAGATAAACTTCTATGTGATTCAGTACCATCACTTACTCACTGTTATGCCAGATAAATGCTTCCTCTCCTTTGATCCAATTTTGATAAAACTAGAATTTGGGGGGGGGTATAGAAGGATGGGGGAGAGGTATCAAGCAAAGTCAGGGAGACCCTGCCTGTCCCAGGTGACCAAAAGTGAATTCAGGGGTATTTCCCAGCACTACAATGACGTTTCTCTTTCTAGTTAGTCCCCACATATCCCCTGTTTGTCGTTCCCTTGGCCTATCTTTAATTTTCCAGAACATTTTCAGTGCATATTCAGTTTTCTTCCCCCGCCCCTTTATTTTTTGTGATGACAGGTTAGTCCCAGCTTCATGCATGTGAGGCAAATAAAGGCTCTACCACTGGCTCAACTCCAGCTCCCAACATGCATTCAGTAGTTTCTCATTTAATTCCAAAATAATGAAATTACCATAGAGCACTGTTTCAAACCATCAGATTCTCAAAGTCCTTCCACCTTCTGCTTTTTCCAAGTCCCATTTACTTCACCTTTTAATGGAATATACAGCAATTCAAGCCATCTCTGACTTAAAACTTCCCAGTTATTCGACAAGGTGAATTATGGGCACTGAAGCACAGATTAATTGCATTGAGCCGGTTTTGACATACTTGTGCTACTTAGCAATCCACTCCAAGTCAGACTGTTCCAGGGAGATGGAGTTCTTCTTTCCTACTGAAACTTAATTTGAATCCTGGAAACCAGATAGCTGCTGTAGAAGCTGCAGGATCTTTGTGTTTCCACATAGAAAACCACCTAGAAATTTGCTCGTTGGATGAAGTTAATGGTTCAGTGTAATGTTGTCCAGTGACCTCAGCTTTGACCTTAAAGAAGAAGCAGCCTCAAGTACACCCTAGATATAGGATGCTGTGGCTTCATATATATATATATATATAATTTGTACTGGAATTGAACTCAGGACCTTGCACTTGCCGGGCAGGTGCTGTACTGCTGAGCTATATCCTGGGCCAGTGGTTTGCTTTAGTCTCACCACAAAAATGCATATGATTCCACTCAGAGCCCCACTGTGACTGAAAATCAAAACCTGAAACCCATGTCTGAGACCGCTACTCTTCTGTAGGAACTGAAGGAGCACTAGACTGGAGAACCCTAAGGAATCGTCCAAGTGTCAGAGGAGATACTGAGGGTCTGTTTCACTTTTAGGATAATGACAGTGAAACATCTCTCCATGAAAGAATTAGGAACCCATAACAAATATGACTCAGGCAAGCATGTCGTCAGGAGTAAAATAACCTTTCAGTGTAGCTCAGTGACACTTTGATACTAAAAATCATTACTTTACAGATAAAATAGCTACCACTATCAATGCTCAGTAAGATTCAGTCAAGAAAAAAAGGTACGAAGTTAGCATGTATGGATATTTTTTCTCCAAAATAAGAATCACTTACAGAATCCAAACACTATTAATGATTACGTTTTGATTGAGAGTTGAAGCTTTAATGACAGGCTATTTAAAAGATTTTAATTTTTCAGTGAAGTCCTGTAGGAAAAAATTATCAACCTCTTGGTATAATTTTAGATACACCTGTTGAAGAGTACATGATATAAACATCACCAAACTGTTCTATAAATATTTAGGTGGATTAGATAAGTAACATCAATAATTCACAAAGTATGATTACTTCGGTATCATTACAAAACTTCTCTACTTTAGAATGTAATTTCGAAAATAGATTATTTGGATCCACATTCGGCTTATTTGATTGGCATTCCTGAATTAATAAGTAAATTCAATCAAACCAAAGATCGAATCAAATGATTATTTTTTTGCCAGCTGTTTTTCTGAGTTGCTATAATTATGCCTCTAGACAGCAATAAAAAAAACAGTGATTTTGATTTGAATATTGCAAAGTATTCATTTAAGATAGAATTTGAAGTTAGTATTTGTCTTTCATACGTGCTGGTCTCACGATGAGAAAAAGACGGTGAGATTTTGTCGCTGAGAAGATGTGATGAAGTTCTCACTGTGAATTAATTTTCAAAATCCACGGACTCCCCAGATGATGATACTTGTCCAAGGTCACGACTATGGTGATATGTAAGACAGATGTCGTGCCCTTGAGTTACCAGCAGCTCCCCCCAGAACGTATCTTCCTTGCTTTGTCTTCTCTGTAGTTTTGGATGGTACTCATTATGTGCATAACTAACCCTGTTTACTGTATGCTTTTGTCTGATCGAGTGCATGTGTGAAAAAGAAAGTTACTGTTTGCCCGCTTACAGTTAAATGTGTTCACATCCTGTCACATGATTATTTCCTCTACTCAGAATGCTGCTTACAAACACAACACAGTTAACCTTGGCATGCTGCCCTATGGAGGTATTTCAGCAATGCATGCAGGCAGAAGCATGACTTTAAACTTGCAGACTAAGTCTAAATTTGATCATCAAGAACTACCTCTTCAGAAAGTAAGTATGGATGCCCTACATGTGTCAGCATACCAAAGGCGATGAATGTTGTTTGTTAATGCATTTAGGCTGTACATACAACCTGTTTACTAGACTCTCGGGTGTCCAGAGGGCACAAGGGAAAATAATGTATAGCCTAAATTCTTAGCTGCTAAGTGTATATTTGTAGCTAAACTGATTATCAGGTCTATGCTTTTTGGAATGAGCAGGGACAATTGTGTTTCTTTAGTTAAGGCTCATTTTCCTTTTTATTCCTTTTTTCCCTATTCTTTCTTTCCTTTCTTTTGTGTTTATTTAAGGAGGTTTTATTTGGTTTTGGTTATGATTTTTTTGTTTTGTTTTGAGATGGCCCTATCTCCTTTGATGATGCATTCTGAAAACAGCTGGGAATTATTTTTGGATTTCAGTTCTTTCCTTCTGGAAGCCACAGACTCCTAATTACAATGGAAGTTAAATGCTGTTGGCATTGCTAAGTGCTTTTCTTCAGTCCACTCTCTTTATGGGAAACAGAGCACAGAAGTTAAAGATGAGAAACAAGTTTGGGAGTCTTCATAGGTTAATGGAAAGTTCACACCTCTTAAAATAAAAATGCAGCCACATTCGAAAGAGAATATCCCACCAGAGGAAGCATTTTCCTTGTCAAAGAGAAACATTTCTGCTTGTTTTGTTTAGACAGAATGGAGACTGCCCATTTTAGCTGTTCACATTCATTATCCTTTTTAAACTTACATTTTGCTGGAGACTAATGAATCATTTGCATGCAATGTATCATTGTGGCTACATATTAATAGTCATTAGCCTATAATGTTTTTATGAACAGAGAAATGCAAATAAATGATAAGAGAATGACAGTGTTCTCTAAACATGTCTTTTTTAATAATATTAACAAAAATATGGAACAAATTTCCATCCAACCCAAATGAGGGTCATCGGATCTCAGATGCATATTTTATTTTCAAATAGGTCTTTAATAACATTCCCTAATGCGAGACAATCTGTTCGTACTATGAGCAATATAAAAAAATTGAAGAGACATGTATATCCATACCTTTCTCAGCATCCAGCATCTCCTAAAGTACAGAAGAGAACAAAACCCTGACTAACTTGAGATACCTACTGCTTGCTGTCATCCTCGTTCCTAGGGAAACCAGTCTTCAAAAGGACCTTGAAACTTAACTAACCTAAGGAATAAATGAGCAGCCGCAACTTAAATGAGCACCTTTCCTAGAGAACGTGGTGGGGTCAATAGAAATCAAAACATTAATAATCAAATTTCAAAATTGAGCAGATTAATGAGATCTTGGGAGAAAAGAAGCTGTACCTGACTCGCTGGAAATTGTATCAAATAGGAATCCCCTTATTGTGCCTAATTCTTGGCCCTCTTTACTCATCGATCTAGATTATGATATAAATACATTTGGTATCTGCAAGATGCTAAAATGGTGTCCTCAGAGTCTAGATTATTCTGCAGATATAGGTGAGGTGAATCTGCACAGTGTTGTTAATTTTCTGAGGGGTTTATTGTGCCCTAGACAATGATTTCATTATCTATTACTATAGCTATGAAGTGTTCTGTAACGAGGCCGGGGAGATAGCCCAGTGGGCAGTGCCTGCCTGGACAACACGAGGTCCTGAGTTCCAGTCCCAGTACCAGAGAGAGAGAGACAGAGAGAGACAGAGAGAGGTTTTCTGTAATAAAAGTCATGCACAGTTGTCACTGCAGACTTTTCAGCCATTCTCTCTTGGGCCCGGCGTTGACCTGTAGGAATACTCTCTGGAAATCACATTACATTGCAAACAAAGAATAACACAAGGATTGAGAGACTTCATAAGTTATCGAAGCATTACTTACCACATGAGGAAAAAAAGAGAGAAAAGTTGGGGAAGAAGACAAAAACAAGGGATGAAAAAGCAGACAGGATGCCCAGTGTTCCATTCCCCAAAAGATTTTATAACTCAGAAATGATCAGTTTAAGCACCAGGCATCTGGAAAAACTTTCCCACCTCAACACCAAACCCACAAACCTGATAAAGCACTGGGACTTTCTCAGTTTCTTGAATAGTTACAGGTCCTGCCTCTTCCGTGGGGTCCATTCTGAGTCTCCACCTTTTCCCTTTGTGCCCAAATGTACCCCCTCTGCAGAGCTTTGGATTGAATGTGTGCCTGGCTTTTCCTTTAGAGCCAAGCCCTCTTAAAATCATGGAAGGTCCTGCAGATCTTCCATGCTGGGCACCCTTGGCCTCTGCTAGCCAGTCCCTCAATGTGAGGAAGGTATAGTTTCCCTGAAGCCTTCCCACTGAACCCACTTTCCTCCGACTTGGAAATGCATAAATACCTGCTACTCTTTTGTCTCGTTGCTTGGGATAACAGAACCAAGTCTCTTAGGCGCAGAAGACTTCTTTGCAGCCCTGAGAACTGGCACTCAAGTATAAGGTAACATCAGTTTATAAATATTTCTAGTAAAGGGGCTGGGGATTTAGCTCAGCGCATAAGCGCCTGCCTTGCAAGCAGGCAGTCGTGAGTTCGATCCCTGGTACCGATAAAAAGGAAAAAGACAAAAAAAAAATAAAATAAAATATTTCTAGTAAATAAAATTGACAAGATGATTCCCCCTGGGGAAATTTGGGACCTGTCTCTATTATTCATAAAATTCTTGAATGATGATTCTGGTTGTTTCCATTTAGATGTTATAAATTATTTGGAGGTGTCCAAGAGAAAGGAAATATAGTCTTCCTAAAGAATCCAAATGAAAGTTTCCACCTGTCACATTCGTGTGTGTGGTGCCCTTTGCCAAGGAGCAGGCAGGGCTGAAATTAGACCCAACCATCCCCCCTGCTAGCCCAGCTATGCCTCCTCTATCTAGGAGGAAAAAGATCTCTTGAATTTCTTCTACAGGGCCTGGGGATACAGCTCAGCGGTACAAGCGCTGCATGGCAAGTGCAAGGTCCTGAGTTTGATTCCTGGTACAAAAAAAAAAAAAAAAAAAAATAGAATTTGTTCTACAGAACTATCTTTGAACAAATGTGTAATAAGCTTGAAGATATGACTATTTCTGAATGAGATGAATACTTACAGAGTCAGTACATGAAGATAAGGGAAGGCTCCCCCTGGTTTTGCCATGTATTTAAACATATCTGTTTTTTGCTTCTATTTATTACACGTCAGGTCAAGGTTAAAGCTAAATAAGAGCTTCATTTTCTGTGATCATTTCAGGGAATCCTTTCAGATAATAAAACAAATGCTAACAGATACAAGAAAATCAGTTCGATGAATTAATTTCCTTTAAGAGTTCCATTTATTAATGTTGACGCTAATTTTCTAAACATGTTCATAGTATTTATAAACTAGAACATTTAGTGTATAAGTCAGCTATTCAGTTAGTCACCATTTTTATTTTCTTAATTCATTTATTTATTCATTTGCCATTGATTTACTGCCTTTCCAAAAAGCATTTAAAGCAATTTTCTATGACGTTATTAATGGTTCCATGTGCTTCCTTGATGTGTTCTACTGTAACTGAGCTTAGCTACTGTCTTGAAATTTATGTTATCAGAGAGAAATACAGCATTATAACAAAAAATGCCTGTTCACACTACCATTTTTATTATCCAGATTAATGGTAGAATAAATAAATACTTCTATTGGGAGAAAAGTGAAGCCAGGAATTATTCAGAATGTGTTCTGTGCCTAGTGGCATGAGGTATTTTGGATGTGCTTTTTCCTTGCAACTCATAAAAACCCTCAAAAGTATACTTATCTCCATGACAAGTAAACTGAGGCCCACGTGTCACACAGATGTCACCTCTAGCTTTAGGATTTCTCTGTTGTTTTTCCCGTACCTGGAATGTAAATCTCACTCTCCAAATCCATACTCTTTGTACTGCATAGCGATATCCTCTCAAATGCTGGTAAAAGCTGACTTTCCCAGCACCTAACTCCTAAAAGCCAGTGAGCCTGCTTCCTACGCACGCTTCTCCCAGCTTGCCTTCAGAACAATCCAGAGACGCACATATTATGGAACTGGAAAAGAAGGGTGTACAAAGCAGAATATTTTAGCTAATTCAACAGCCTGACCCCAGTCATTGCCGGGGGACCACTGTCAGCTGGGCTTGGTGTCACAGTACTCTGTGCTTTTCAGACCCACTTGCTTTTCCAGAGCTGCTGTTATCACTGAGAAATACACTTGGTAGCAATTCAAGGCTAGACATGACGAACCCGGCAAAATTACCTGTTACCCTCCACACTACTATAGCCCCAGAGACGAGAAGAAATTGGCCTTTTCCCTGTCTGTAGATATCTGGCTGCCAATACAAGTTGTGTCCTCTGTGACACTGGAGAAATTTATTATTTCCTCTTTCTATTCTTTTTCATTAATTTCTACTGCCATAGTATTATACCATAGAATCTATTGCTTATTGGCTTATAGAATCAGACACTGAAGTAAATTAATTATAATTTCAGGAAGGAAGGTACTGAGGTCATGGAAATGTATGTATGAAATAATTGTTTCGCAGAGTTTTTCCTGAAAGAAAATGGCCTCACTATCTTTTGTTATTAGTTGATAATTTAGGTTTTCTATTAGTTCATAATTTAGTTTAATTGATAATTGATACTCACCTCACCATCTTTGAGTTAGAGAAATTCTAATAGCAATATTTGTGCCTAACCTATTTTTAAATTATACTGTTCTTTTTTACTGAACCTATGCAGATGACTCAGGACCAGATAAAATCATGATTTAGTATGCATTTATTCACTCTTATGCCAAGGGTTACCTCCTTAATGCCATTTTTTCTCCTGCTGAAATTCCAACAAGATTTATGCTGTACCTCAGGGCGACTCATGCCTGTAATTCCTATCGATTTTGTTGCATTTATTATTGGCTACCTATCTCTCAAGAAAGATTCGCTTACCTTTCTAATTATGAAAAAAGCCTTCAGTCTGTAAAGCCACATAAATCCTCAAAGACAGTGGCTAAAATTACCAAAATAATGCTAGTACTTATACTGATGCTTTGTCATCATTATACTGAAATTTAAAATTCACTTGGGCATTACATTACCACCTTCAGATTGAACCCCATGAAATCATAATTATTTAGATCTTAGTTCAGCATATATTTGCCTTTGGAATACTTTTCCCTGAAGGCGTGCTGAAAAAATAATAATAAGTTCACTGAAAATACTGCTAGGTGAATTGTTTTTAACACTTTTTAATTTATGATAATGCCCTCAATGAACTATGGGCTGATTACTACTCAAAATTGATATTTTGTTTTGTAGGGAACATGCCCCAAGACCTTTGCAAAGTACCAAATTCTTTTCCCAGTGTTATATAATTTTTCCTGCAAAATGGCAATAAATATATTCTCAAGAGCACACTGTATATCCATTCATTAGCAGACTAGGCCAAGGCTGCTGGATCAGCTAAACTCACTGGCTCCCCTGTATTAATGCTGTTCATACACATGCTCACACACATGTGCACACATGCAGACACACATTTATGCACACATGCACATGTGTAAGCATGCATATAGAGAGAGATGCATACATTCATGTCTTTTTATGTCGGCAAAATGAGAAATTACTTCTTTTAATGTGCACTCATGATTATTCATGGTAGACAAAATCATACATGTTAAATCTACGAATGTCAACCCTAGCCTGGTGCTAGCATCTGCTCAGTAAGGACTCTACTCAATATGGCTGTGCTTTCCATCAAATATAAAATTTTTGCTTTTTATTAAATCACATTGGCCATTTCCTCTATTGAAATGTGAGAGACATACAGAACTTGAAATGTCATAATGCACTGTGATATTTTTCCATGTTTTATGGAAAAATAAATGGTTATATGTGGGATAATGGTTATATGCAGGGATAAGACTCAATCTTCAAAGTATCTAAAGAAAGTATCAAGAATATGCTATGAGAAATAACTAAATGAGTAACGGAATTGCAGTTGGGTTATTTTATCTAGAATAATAAATTCAATAGTTACAGTTTGCTCCTTCCATCTTTCAGAGAATTTCCATAGCTAAGCTCCTGTATTTACACACAACATGTAGACTTTTTAAAGAAAGAATGAGAATATTCTACACACTTCTCTTTTTCTGTCCCGTTTGCCCCCTCCCAACATTAATAAATTGTTTTTATGAGCTTTTTTATTTTTGCAGACTTAAATCTCTCCTACAGTGCCTCATTTAAGAAAAAACACAGTGGTAGATCATTCTTGAAATTAAAAGAGGAAATTGTTCTCAGGAAATTCCTTTTAATTTTGCTATCTGGTGAAAGTATCTTTTTAATGTGTCTGCATGTTTATGTTCCCCGTCTCCCCTGCAATACAGAGAATCTGTATGATGCTTAATTGTAATTTTAAAAAGAAGGAGGTTAATTGACAAATGAGTGAAGATCACGGATAATATTAGGATTTTGATAAAAGAGATTCAACCTTTTTATGACAAAATGAATTTTGCAGTTCTCAGTTGCTGTCTAACAGTGGCTAGGCATCATCTCTAGGTGAGTGAAGCAAGTAAAGGAAATAGAGATGGGAAGATAAAAAGAAAAGAAAGGAGATGCCCACTGTAAACATACTACTCTTGAAAACAGGCAACCCATGAATAGCTGTCTCGTTATCTTCAAGTAATATTTTCTTTAAGTGTGTTAGCTACATCTGATTTTTAAAAAAACACACAAATGAGTTTATTCCTAGGTACTGCAAGACTTTAAATTCAGTAACTTTTGCTGTTTTTAATATCTTACTTTACAATGGGATTATGAAAAAAAAACTCACATGGCCAAAGTAAAAGAAGGATTATTGATTATATTCATTATGTCCTAAAGAGTTGATAAATTTCCAGAATAAACCCACTTTAAAACATTCCCCGGTAGATCTTTTTTAAAAAAATACATGTGGTCATAATACAGATAGGGCAGTTCTGTAATTGGTTTTTAACAGAGAACCAATTAGATGGCACAGTGAAGCCGCAGAAGCTTGACACACGGCCCATCTGTGACAGGCCCAGTTCCCACTCACCAAGAATGGACGTCAGTCCTCACACCAGAGTAGCTATACACACGCTCCCACAGAGGCTTGGCAGTACGGGTCCTGTGACACTGCGAAGCGGGTAGCCGTAAGAGGACTCCAGAAAACCGAGCAACATGTGTGCATCCTGCAGGTTAGGAGAGGAAAAGCCTTTGCAAAGGAGGCTTTGTACACTTCTTTGTGTATATATAGAAGAATATGAAGAATGTGTACATGCATGCACTGTACATACCAGTATAAATGTCCACTGTAGAAGCTTTCTGATGGTCTTTGATTGCAATTACTTGCTATTTCTTTAGAATAAGATGTCCTCCTAAAATACACTAGGAAAAATACAAAGTATTGTTATTTATTCAACATACACAGAAAACCAGCAAAAAAATTTTAAAAACTCTATGAAGACCTTAAACTTTATATGTGATGTATATGTATTTGTGTGTGATGTATATTTGGTAATCAAAACTCATGATTTATTTTTACTGTGATTCTCATAGCTTAATATTTTTGATGTTGCTTTAACCTTTCTCCAAAGCTGTCAGTGACATGATAGTGCCATAAATCTTGCATTATGCCAGTTTTAATAATATTTTGGATTAGTGAAAGGCGTATTCTCCCAGAATCATTACAACCTTATGAATTATGGTCTGGAATGTTGTAAGTTTCATATTATGGATGACATGGTTTCAATTTATATTCTAAGTGATAAGGTTATACTAAAGAAACAAATTAGGCAAGTTTTAAATGTAGTTTTTAACTGATTTTATTCTGATTATTTTTATTCAGGGATTATAAACAATTTAAAGTTTTTTAAAATCAGTAAATAAGATGTTTATTTTATTTATGTTTCTCATTGCTTCCAAAAAGCTGTAATTTAGAATTCATATTCAGTAAACAGTGTTTAATAATTTCAGTTAGGATGTATTTTTTCTACAAATGAAATTAATTTTACCATAATTATTAAGGACTCTTTTCAGAAAACTATGCTAAGCTTCTATTACATCACTAAAGAATGCCATACCATTTTTGCAATAGACCCCGTCCCAGCAAAGCAACATTTTAGACAGTGGACAAGAGGATGGATCTCCTAGTGGCCAGTGGAACCCTTATCCACTTGGGAGGCGGGATGTACCTCCGGACACCATTACTAAAAAGGTAACCCATTTCAGATTGATGGCGCAAACCATAAAGCTTGTGCATCTGTTGTAATATGTGACCCATATCTGTGTCTTAGCATTGTTTCTAACTTCAGACAAAATATTATTCCATCTTAAACTTCCGTTCATGGTAAGTACACTGAAAAGAATGGGAAATGAACACTGCCATGTATTCTGAGTGGGTGATGAGTGTTTATAAACATCCTGCTGCCTGTCTGCAGATACTACACTACCACTGTGAAGAGTATTGTAAGATACTCTTCCAAGTCTGTGTGTAGAAAGGTACGTGACATATACTTTTGCAATGGGCTGCAGCCAATTTACATAAAATAACTGTCGGGCGTGAAAAGATGGATTTAGCATTTTGAAAGTCACAGCAATACATTCAACAAGCATTTAGTAGGCAGTAATATGTGTACTATCATATGTTGAACAATTGTTAAATGGCAGTGAAAGTAAAACAGAGACAGTGCTTTGCATCTGGTGGGGAAGCTGAAGGGATAAGTAGGTACTAATGACACCACCTGCTAGGTCATTCGACCAGAGTGAAAAGAAAGTCCGTGCCTATGAGGAGATGTTTGCAGTATGTTCTTAGGCTCAAGCGATTTGTATCCTACAAATTTTTTTAAACTCTTGCAAATCAATTTAAAGCAACCTATAACAATTTTTAATGGTGAAATATATATTTAAAAAGGAAGTACACAAACATTAATACAAAACAGCCCTTTTATCCAAGAGAGAAATGAAAAAGAGATGCTGTCTTATGTTTACCTGACTGGCAAAAGTGAAAAGGTTTGAAAAACACAAGTTATCTGCAAGTATTAGACTGCAAAACTCTTTTGTACTTCCTGGAGTATAAAGCACACTCACTTTGGTAATGAATTAACTTGTGAAGGTAAACACACGCACAGCCTGCCTTCTCCCAAGCCTCTGAAGGTATTAAACTAGAAAACTCTTGGACACATCATTTAAGGTACTTCTAATGCTTACATTACCAGAAAATCGGGCAAACTCAAATGTCTATGAGCAGAAAGTATGTAAAACTGTTATTCATACGAAACTATATTTCACAGCAATAAAAATTAGTAAATCATTATCTCCATAAGATGTAGAGTAGTCTAAACACATAATTCAAATGGGGAAGTTTCAAGAGATGGCACACATCTATGTGTTCTAATTCTTCAGTTCAGTTACGGTTCTCACGTTCTAGATTTTAAGCTCAGCAGAGTGTACTGGGTGATAGAACCTCATAGTTTACATATGCATTATGTAAATGCACACATTCTGTATCATCTAGGTGAATTTCCCCCTTGATGACTATGTCAGAGCTTTGTAACACTGTGAAACATCTACTTTACCCTATATAATAGGCAATGCATAGCTTTGCAGGTACTATGTATGCTATTAATTCGCCTTTGGCGTAATACCCAGAACTGGGATACGGGTGATAGCAGTACTTGGAAAGAGCACCTGTTTAGGAAGGAAACAGAAAGTTGAAAAGAAGAGAATGGAGTCAAATGAGGCTAGGAAGCTAAGCAGAACCCAGATCACTCTGGGCCTTATCCTGTAGGAAACTGAAAGAACACTGAAGTATTCTCATCAGGGAAAACACATGACCAGGTTTTCATGGAAAGAGCATACCAATGACTTTTCAGTGAATGAAGTAGAGAGGAGGAAAAGCAAGAGCAATGGAACCAATTAAGAAACTTCCCAACAATCCAGGGGAAAGGAGATAGACAGCAGGGGGAAATGCATGGATTTAGCATCTTGTGATTCACTAGACATAGGTCAGGGGAATAGATAAAGGTTCTAGACTGATATCAAGGTTTCTAATTTGGTCAAGTTAGTCCATTCGCTAACTTGGGAAATACAGAAAGAGCAATAGATGGCAGTGGAGGAAGAGGGAAGCTTGCATTGTACTACATGAATTTGAAGCATCCTTAGGGCATTTGAGTGGGTGTGGAAACAGGATGTAAGATGATACTGAGCAGAAGCTCAATGGAGAAATCTTAGGTAAATATGCACACTTAAGAATCAGCAGAACGTATGTGTTATTTAGTCATGAGTCAAAGAGCCCCCTTGAGACCCCAACATATTTTTTTGTCTTTTTCGGTTTTTATCAGTACCAGGGATCAAACTCACAACTGCACACTTGCAAGGCAGGGGCTTATGCCGCCGAGCTAAATCCCCAGACCCCGTGACCCCAACATTTAAGAGATGGACTCAGAAAGAAGAGACAGAAAAGGAAGAAGCACGGACATTAATCAGCATGGAGATTGGTCCTGCAAACTGTAGAAAATTCAGGAGAAATGCCCTTGGGCACTGAGGAAGTCAGTTACTAACATAGCAAGTGGTCAAGATCTATAGCCTAAAATGCAGTCCTCGGTTCTATAAGGTGTTAATGACTCAGAGTTTTTCCTGTTTCCAGTCTACCATCATACTGTCCTGGGCTTTACCCTAAAACTGGTTCCTCTCACATGTAAGATTATTTCCTATAATGATAAGTGATCGTTGGAAAACTTCCATTTTCAAATCCAGCAGAAAAGAGACACAAGTTCCTGTAACTGTTTCTTACATGTAAAACCTTTCTTCCTCAAATCACTCAACAGCTGCTTCATACATTTCAGTGATGCAAAAAACTCCAGACTTTTTCTCTCTTCAAGAGGGATGGAATTCTGTGATTAGCTTTAACTAATCAATTGCAGTGAAACAGGGCTCTTAGCTTCAAAGACCACTAAAAAGTGTAGATGGAAAAATAAGAAAAAGCAGCACCTTGGAAATAAATGTTTGGAGACTACAGTCAACAATGCCAAATGATGCCCAAAAAAATTCATGCAAGAAAATTACTGCCTAAAGATTCTTCAAACTTATGAACCAAGAAAACTCAGGAAAGGACTTTCTTTTCAAAAGGAAATAATGTATTACACTGGCCTGTAGAAGACAGTTGCAGCTAAGATGGTAGACACCTGAACATAAAGGGTGAAAGGATGTAACTTAAATGAAGGACAAATTGGAAATACCACGCAAGGAAAGAGAGAAATCTGCTTTGTTATAAGGAGAGAGGATGTGTGCCTTGACAGGGTGCTTACAGAGTGCCCATTGGAGCAAAGGGTATGCCATGCAACCAAAAGAAGGAATAGTATCATGTGGTTGTGGAGGGTTGCTATCATCTCATCTCAATCATTTATTAATGCACGGAGCTAGCAGGTGTTTACTTCATCCAGCCATGCATCTGTTTTATACCAAGTCTGTTTTCAAAGTCCACCATAATTGTGATTGTGTGATCATACCGTCAGTACAGCTCATAATAATCACCTTCTTGCCTCACTGCTAGCTTTAAGAACCCTATAGAATCCTGCGATTGATTAAATATCCGTGTACTGGTTGACCTTGATAAATGCTAAAGTAATTGTCTGATCTATCTGAAACTTCATGAAGCTTCATGCTTCTTGCAAGTGTGAAATAATATATGTCTAAAACATTTATCATGTCTTTGATAAAGTCATTTGTATTTCTTGCTGTTATAAGAAATGCTTTTGATGACCCAGTATTATTACAATGTTGCTGCCTATAATCCCAGCACTCAGGAGGTTGAGACAGGAGGATTGCCATGAGTTCAAGGCCAGCATGGACTGCATAGTGAGACCCTGTCTCAGAAGGAAAGACAAAGAGAAAGAAACAAAGAAAGGAAGATTATTACAATTTTGCCTAAAATCTGAAGTTTTAGAAGCTACAAGTAGTTATGTCTACCTCTTGAGGAGGGGGTTATTTATTTGTTTGTTTTTTGACACATGGGGTCTCCCTGTGTTGTCTAGGCTCACCTCTAATTCGTGTGCCCAATCAGTCCCTCTTCCTTAGGTTGTTGAATATACCAGTTGAATATGTTAATATCATGTGAGAATGAAACCTAAGAAAACGGGAATGGTAACAGGAGTATTATCCTGGGCTGTGATATTTGTCCTATTGTTTATTGGTCTTATAACCTACAATGAACATTTTTTAAAAGTTAGTGTTATTTTTGCCATTGTGGTAAACTGAGTAGTCATTAGGCTGGACTGGAGAATACAAAGGTGAAAAATAAATTGCAAATGAAATGGGGAATTCAAGGAGAGTAAGTAGCAAAAACTGTAGGCAAGCCCACTCAAATGTGTTTCTCAGCACTATGCAGAAGCAGAAGCCTAAGCCATCAGAAATGAGCAGGGCTGCAGAGATTTGCTAGAAAATCAGTTCTAGGGATCAGATCCATGGATCTCTGCTGCAGCGATCTTAGCTCTTCAGTAACTAGTGTTGGTGATACAGCCATACCTTGCGGTATCAAAGAAAAACAGATGAGGGGTCTTCCAAGCTGCAGATCCAAAGATTTAGACCCATAAAACAAACAAAAAGTGTTTATCCCTGAGGAAAAGTTTGTGCCTGTGTCTTCCACCACTGTGCTGTGTGCTGAGACCGGCAGAGTGATGGGACAAGGTTGAAGGATTTAAATCCTTTCCTATTTTTGATGGTGTCAGAGGAGGTGGCCAGTTTTACTTCCCCTCTTGCTATGTGAGTCCCCCAAATCTCAACTTCTGATATCCATGAATTCAAAAATCTAATCACTTCTAAAAGAATATGTTACTTTTATGTAAATCTCCTCCCCCTCAAAAAAATTCCAGGCAATACTAAGTACTTCAAGAATTGTTATAAAAAATTAACCATGATTTCAGGAGGAGCGTTGGTATTTTAGAACTCTAACACGTCACTGCTCTCCATCTATGGTAAGAAGACTAGGTACCGTGCATTAGATCTTTACGCTATGTCAACCATTGTGCTAACTGCTTTCATGTATTTATGCATCTCACCTTCAAGGCCACAAGGTAAGCACTGCTATTTCATACATTTTATGAGATATGTGACCTAAATTCCTCTTCTGTATGTAAAAGAAAAGAACATGGTGGTACTGGTGTAACAGATAAATGCAAAAACAAATGTTACTGTACATTCAGACACCACACTCTGATT